CTTTCGTGTCAACACAGCCATTATCGGTTCGGACTTCCTGTCCCACTACCACCTGCTTCCCGATTGCCGATCCAAACGCTTGGTTGATGGCACCACAGGCTTATCGGCTGTAACAGCTGTTGTCACTTCGGAACAACCCAGTGTTAAAGCTGTACTTTCGGAAGACGACGAGTTCAAAATTCTGCTTTTAGATTTCCCGGAAATTACCAAACCTCCTGGTCTTCCGAGAGTCGTCAAGCACAACACCCTCCATTATATTAAAACCACGGATGGTCCTCCGGTCTCCTGTCGTCCCCGCCGTCTCGCTCCAAAGAAACTAGCGTCCGCTAAGAAAGAGTTTGAAGACATGGTTCGCTTGGGTATAGCAAGACCTTCTGATAGTCCGTGGTCTTCACCTCTTCATATGACGTTGAAGAAGGACAACAGCTGGCGTCCCTGCGGTGACTATCGCAGTCTAAATGCCAGGACCATTCCAGACCGGTATCCGGTGAGGCACATTCACGACCTCGCGAACGGTCTCAGTGGGGCAACTATATTCAGCACCTTGGATCTGGTAAAAGCTTACCATCAAATCTCAGTGGCTAAAGAGGATATTGCCAAAACAGCCATCACCACCCCGTTTGGCCTCTTCGAATTCCCGTTTATGACCTTTGGTTTGAGAAACGCTGGTCAAACTTTTCAGAGGTTCATCGATGAGGTCACGCGGGGTCTGGATTTCTGCTTTCCTTATGTCGATGATGTGCTTGTTTTTCCCCTAATGGCAGCTACCATAAGGAGCATCTCAAGATCCTCTTCAGCCGCTTCAAGGAGTATGGTGTGGTTATCAACAACTCCAAGTGTACTTTTGGTGCCAAAGAGGTTAAATTTCTTGGGTATGTCGTGAACGCCGAAGACGTACGCCCACCACCAAGCCGTGTACAGGATCTTTTATATTTCCCCCCACCCCAAACAGTCCAAGGCATGCGAAGGTTTCTCGGCATGATCAATTTTTATCGGCGTTTTAAACCGCACGCCGCTAAATATCAGGCTCCATTAATAGACGCCATTGTCTATACAAATAGCAAAGGTTCGAAACCATTCCCTTGGACACCCGAGTTACTGGAACGAAACAAAATTCCCCCTCCCCAATTGAACCAGCTGTCATTTATCAGTCAATTTACGACTGATATTAGACACATCAAAGGGGAGGACAATGTAGTGGCAGATGCTATGTCTCGCATTAACGCTGTATCCTTAGAGCAAGACTACACAGCTCTTGCGCAGGCACAGCAATCTGACGAGGAGTTAGCAGAATCGAAAGACGCGTGGAATTTAAAATTGGAACCGATTCCGATCCTGGTACCGACGTCACCTTGCTTTGTGACACGTCGACAGGTCGGCCGAAACCTTATTTAACACCGCAGTTTCGGCGGGCCGCCTTCGACCGCTGTCACAACTTGAGCCACCCTGGGGCACAAACATCTGCTCGTTTGGTGTCTAAGCGCTACGTTTGGCCAAACATAAACAGAGATTGCCACGAGTGGGCACGGCGCTGCATTCAGTGCCAGAAAAACAAGGTGTCACGGCACAACAAGTCACCCCCTGGTCAATTCGACCTTCCATCCGGTCGCTTCCACCATATTCACATCGACATCATCGGTTTTCTTCCATTCTCCAACGGGTTCAGCTACTGCTTGACAGCTATCGATCGTTTCACCCGGTGGCCAGAGGCTTGGCCGATGTCTTCGATAACGGCGGAAGAAGTTGCCGAGAAATTGATGCTGGGGTGGATTGCACGATTTGGGGTACCTAGTGTCATCACCACTGATCAGGGGCGTCAATTTGAGTCATCCTTGTTCCAAGAGCTTATGCGCTTTTGTGACTCCAAACGCGTTAGCACCACTAGCTACCACCCCTGCGCTAATGGCATGGTGGAGCGAGTTCATCGGCAACTGAAGGCAGCCCTGATGTGCCATGCGGAAACGTGGACCCGGGCTCTGCCACTTGTTTTGCTCGGCATGCGGACGGCGTTTAAAGAAGACATCAAGTCTTCGTCTGCCGAACTGGTATACGGTGAGACACTTCACCTCCCTGGTGAATTTCTCGTTCCTCCTCCAACTCCAGCGAACCCTGCAGAATTTGCAGATTTTGTGTCCCAATTGAGACTCGAGATGGACAGCATTCGGCCAATTTCCGCATCACGTCACACCAAGCCTGCGTCTTTCGTCTTTAAAGACATGGCCATGGCAACTCACGTTTTCTTGCGCGACGATACTTGCCGAAGATCTCTGCAACCACCATACTCTGGGCCACATCGCGTTTTGGAGAAGAAGGACAAGGTTATTACCATTCTTGTCAATGGGAGAGAAGCCACCGTCAGCATCGACCGGGTCAAGCCTGCTCACATCGACACCGAATCCGACGACTGCAAGGGTCACTCACACCATAGTGCTGCCGCACACCCGGCACTTCAGCAGCAAGTTCCTGTCCAACCGTCTCCGAAAGCTACAGACACAGGACCTGCTTCCACCTCTACCCAACCCTATAAAACCCGGACAGGAAGACAGACAGACAGGTTTAAGTGATGATTTTGTTACTTAAGTAGTAGTTTATTTTTGTTTCTTTGTTTTCTTGTGCCTTGCTTTTCCTTACTCCGTAGGGGGGTGGTGTGGCGACTTTGCACTATGTTGTTGGTCCATGTCACCATACAGCCAGTGTCTATGGATATTCCGTAGGCACTGGCACATTAGAAATTAAGTTTTATAATTATGTTCTTTTTGATATGTTCTGTTAAATTTTTAATGGTCATTCTAAAAATAGACTTCTGATAAAAATTTCGTCCGTACAAATTGTATTTTATAATTGTTAATATTTTCCGAATATATTGCTGATAAGTTGACGTATCATCGTTTAATTACTCCGTTCCGCTAGTGGGGAGCAGCGGCTAAACATTCCCCAAACCTTTATTTGTTTTGTTCCTTTTCCAGCAGTTTTTAGTTAGGTGTCCTTTTTACAAAATTTGCAAAATGCGTAAAAGTATACTGTCTCGGATTCAGAAATATTTGCCTCTACTTGTTTACGAGAATCATATTCTTCTATGTTTTTATTTTTAGGATTTCAGGTTTTGGTAAAATATCTCTCGACTCTATGGCAACTCTAAAGTTTTCAAAATCAGCGGATAAACTGTATAGCATAATAATAGATAGCAAATCATCATTTATTAAAATATCCATATCAGCTAATATATCGACTGTATCTATAAATATATTTAGATGCTCTCGTACATCTCCACACTGCTTAGTCAAATATAATTGTTTTAGTAAACTAGCTTTTCGTGCGGGATCTTTACTGGCATAAATATCCTTCAGTTTTGTCCAAATACCATGTGCAGACTTACAGTTTTTAATTTGCTTTATCTCCGATGGCGAAATCAATAAAATCAATTCTGATTGAGCCATTAGGTCCTCTTCTTTCACATTTTCATTGCTCAAGTCCACGGATTTTTCAACAAATTTCCATAGCTTGTTTTTTATGAGGATAACTTTGGCCTGTATCGCCCAAGTGTCGTTATTATCTTTTGATAGTACTTCGATTTTTGAAGCCATTTTTATATGAATCATGGAGCTCTACTACCATATAAAAGTAATATCATTGAAAGATAACAGACTTTAGGGAATATATATATATTCAGAGAATAAACTAAATTGTAATTTTATATTTTACATTAAAACAATATTGCACACTGACATAACTCCACCATCAAAGAGTACTTTTTATAAAGTCACCATGTAATAAGGCTTTATGCCTTCACAGTAACCCCGGGTTTTCCAGATTTGAAAAAAGGCCCCCCTACCCCTTCGTTTCCCAAGGGCCACCACAACTCTAAATCCGGCCCTGATTAAGTAGGTATGTAAATATAAAATATTTATAGTGCATTAAACACTTTAATATTATAGTGCGTCAAGGATATAAAAAACTGTAAATTTTGAAAAATAATGATCAAATAAAAATAATGAATATATGATATATCCGAAGCAGGGTATAAATATAATCGTACGGGATTGCTATGGCTTTAGCTTTTCTCACCAATGCATTTGCATTCACAAAGTGAAAAGCGAATACAAACTCGCGTCAATAATTTTACGCTTCAATGCGTCGTGTGTGTCATGAATACTGCTTTGTTGTTCAAACATTGTAAAAACTGTTCACAAAACAAAAAAGGTGGTGTCATTTAATGGGAATTTACAAATATATTCATAATAATTTTAGTTTTTGGTCTGATGCTTACTCAGAACACAAAACCCATAGCTTGCGCTGATTGTCTCCCTGTTTTAAGGGTAAATTTATCGAATCGAATCGAAGGAACCCCTCTATCTCACCTCACACACACACTGCGGAACGTTGAACTAACTCGTGCGTGACAACGTGACATGACGTCACACTTTTTGTGCGTGCAGCCGGTGTTCATCGAAATTTCTGACGGTATCACGTCAAAAAGTGGGTTCTTTCTTGCTAATCCGGCAACCTCACACACACACTATAATAATATTAGGGTATGTGTTCGTAGAGCGTTGACGCGCACACATAACTTATTGCGAGCCTCACTTTGCTTTTGTACTTTATTCAAGTTACTCTATGGCTTGTACCGTGCGCGTTTTCTGCCTTGTGTGCTAAAATTTGAGAAACAGTTGTATATAAAAATATTTTTTATCAAATACATACGTGATTTTTTTATGTTTCTGTTCTACTAACCATATTGAGAACATACATATGTATAATCATCAATGCACTACTACTAAAACAAATGGGTCTAGAAAACACCTTAGGCTGTATGGAATCTCCAGCTTTTGCTTTTCTTTATTGTAATATTACGAGAAAAATCTGACACACATTTAATTTGAGGTTAGGTTGTTGCGTTGTGTTGAATTGAAAACAATAATAAATCAATATTTTAAACAAATTCTGAAAATAATATTACTTTACATTATATATAATACCATTTATTATATTACTTTACTAAATTTGATCAATCGCGGCAATATTGTAGTCATTTGCTCAGCTATTTCTTTCAGTGTTTGCATTGTACTGAGTGTTTGTTGTGTGCGAGTTTTCTCACCTTCTTTCATTGTTTGTCGTATAGGACACCGAATTTTAGTAGTTCCTTACAATGCGTTTTGTAATCAAACATGCTGGCTATGGCAGCGAACGTGTAAGTACTCTGTCGGGATTTGGCAAGGTAAAAACTGCCAGTATTGAAACACCTACCGCAGCACTTCTTACACAGGTGATATTTAAGTTATTAATTTACCTAAGAGCTTATATTGGCTAACCTATGTAATCTAATTTCTATTTATTTACTTAACATGATACCATATGATGTTTCAGGGTGGCAGTGTTGTTCATTTAACAGTAGATGTTCTGGCCAAAGTCTTCTCAAATCCCCAGTTGCTTTGGGTACCTCTTTCCAACTCTGCTCGACTTGAGGCGGGTGTGAGGGCACAAGGTGAAGGAGTAGCTAAATTTTCGGGTCTACAAAACCATATTACTTGCGCCACTCTGCAAAATGTCAGTGAAATCACTCCATCAGGACACTTTGAGACTAATCTCGTGCCTATGTGGACTAAAAATGGCAAAAAAATGATATCCGCTGATAAGTAAGTTACTTTTTTAAGTTATTCATATTTATACACGTAACAATGGCAATGATTTTACAGAATTAAGAAAATACTGATTAATGTAAGTTTTTTCCTACTATTTCATAGGTATATGGATATAATGGAGATATACAAACCTGATATCTTATTAGCAATTGCTGATGATCACATAACTTTAAAAGAAGGTAATAAACGGGTTAGTAAGGCTGTAGAAAGATCATGTTCACTATTGGATACTTGTGTGAATCGTTATTTGAATTCAACGCAACTGAAGGATTGTTCCCTTATAGGTAAGATCTTTTTTCTTTAACTGCTTAACATACACTTGGGACTTATACTGGCTGCAAATGAATGCAATTAGTAATGAAGAGAAAGTGGAACTTCCAAAAGTTTTCTTTATTATGAGCTTGCTTAATTGAAATCAGTCCTTTTTTTATAATTGAACAGAAGCTTTTGTAGTTACTTTCACTTTTGAATTACCTGTATTGTTTTTCACGGGTTAATGCACAAAACTTTATTTATTTATTGACATTTCATTAAATGAGTTTTATTTAATGAGATTCAAGTTTTATTTAATGAGTGATGTGTGTGAAAACCTAAGAAACAAATACCTGTATTGTGTTTAAATCTAAAGAAAAGTTCACTGGAAAAAAAAACGTAGACCAGGCAGCAGACGGGACTCGAACCCGCACCTTTGGCTATTCGGGCGAATGCACTGACTATTATGCTACCGCGGCGCTGACGACCGTGTCGAATTTTTTCTAGCCTTAGGCTGCAAGGCGGTAGGTTGCGGGTTCGAGTCCCTTCTGCTGCCTGGTCCGCATGGATTTTTTTCTAGTAAACTTTTCTTTAGATTTAAACATCTAGCAGTTAAATGCTAAAAAAATAAAAGCAATTATATTGTGTTGTGAAAACATTATTTGTTTGATTTTCAGGTGTTATAACTGGTACAGGAATCAAGGAAAAATGTGAACATTGCATAAAACATATACTCAAACACAAGGAACATTTAAGTGGTGTGGCATTATCAGGTATGACAGATGGCTCAGAAGAATCATTACGAATTCCTATTGACAAGTTTGAAGAAATTCTTAAAAGAATATGTGTGAGTAAGGCAATGTATTTTTACATTTAAAATAAACTCTGAAAAGATACTACATTTAAGGGAATCGTTCAGTTTACTAGGGTACTCTGGCTTGATATGAACACTAACCAATATTATCAAAAAGCTTAATTTTTAATTCTTTGTATAGATAAGAAAGTAATTATAGCAATATAATTGCTGGAAAGCTTAGTGATGTGATTAAATAGGCAAGCATAAAATTCCTTTGAAATTGCATCCACCAGTCACGGGGTAGATACTTATTTGTATTGTGTTCACCATAAGAAATATGTATCATTGACTTTTTTTATGTAATAAGTGTGTTCATAAGGCTAAGCTCAGATGGTTCCGCGTTGGCACGCGTACATTCTTATGCACGTAAAGTTTCTAAATCATTACACCTCAATGACACATGGCGAGTTTACAAGCTACAAGCCAGCGAATTTTCTAGCAGCTTGTAAACTCGCCCTGTGTCATCGAGGATTTACATAGGACTGTTTAGTTTAGACGATTGGGTGTTCACTTGCAGCCACGCGCGATCGTCGCTGCTCCATTGCAGGACTCGCAAGTATCTAAACGAGCGCCTGCGTGCAAATTGAGTTCCTATAATCTAGTGTCGTCCTGTTTAGTTCATCAGAATGACTTGTTGCGTGCAAACGTACTGGCCAGCAAAAATGGAAGACGACGTGTTATGGCTTGTCATTTGAAATTAGCACAGACCAAGATTAAAGTAGATACCACACGCACTTCAAAATTTTAGGGAAGTCGAGCGTGTCAGACGGGAACAAATAAGTGGTAGAAAAGCATTGGCGACATTATGTAATTGAAATAGGTGACCGGAACCAATTTCAATTACACATATGGTTTTTACAGATTAAAATTACATAGTAAGATATTTTTAAAAAATACAACTGATGTCTGGTGTCAGGAACGGTGATGTGAAGAAATAAATTTGCATAAACAAAAATAACACTCGCACAACTACTGCAACTAGGTATATCTATTTCGATCTATGTCTGTGGAACCTATCCCAAATAAGTAATCAATCTTTCTCTTTCTTTGGTTATTTTTATTTAAGTGAATGTATGTGAATTCATTTTCCAGGAATCTGTTCCAAGTGATCTTGTTAAGTTCATAGAAGGCTGTTGGAGTCCTGATATCATAATGAAGGCCATACAATATGGCTGGGATGTGTTCGATGGGTCTTATCCTACGAAGCTTACAAATGCTGGCTATGCGTTAAAACTGAACTTTGATTCACATCGAATTAGTGATGAACTCTGTATATTAGACCTCAACAATGATCGGTGAGTTCTGCTTATGATAAAAATATGACTATGGCACAATGGATATTTTATTAATTAAAATATTTTTCTGTTTTATTAAGTTTCATTCTGTAATGAAAAATTAGTGGCTATTCCTTTATTTCACAACATTAACGACAGAAAGTTTTACTCATGTAAATTTCTTAGTTTGCCACCACTTGTATTTAAATCTATAATAACAAAAAATAAATATTTCTAACACACACAGCAATGAGCCTAGCCCCAAAGTAAGCACAGTAAGCTTGTGTTATGGGATACTAAGATAACAGATAGAATACAATACATATACTGATACATACTTATAATTAAATTTTTAAACATATAAACATTTATGACGTAGGTACAAATGCTCGTATTTATCACACCAACGATTGCCCCACCGGGATTCGAACATGGGACCTCTGAGTAGACGACACCTTGAAAACGGCGTACATACCTCTCCAACGACGGAGGTCGTCAGTTATCTATATTTCTCATTATTAGTATTTTAAAACACAATCTACTTTGAAATTATTACAGATACAAGGAAGATTTCAGAGCAGTTTTGGAAGGCTGTGAGTGCCTAGCCTGTCGGAAGCACACAAGAGCTTATATTCAACACCTTTTGAATACCAAAGAGATGCTTTCAACAGTTTTATTGAGCATGTGAGTACCTCATCCTTTATATTTCCATATCAATTTAATATGTAATTTAAATCCCAAAATCTCCACATGGGTTTCCCCTATTATTAGTAAAACTAAATTAGTGTTAATTCCTCATCAGCAAATCAATAAATGCGGTTTTTGAAAAAAAATAAGAATATGATGTATTTTTAAAGTATGTATTTCAGAATATTTGTTTAATATTCTTCTTCATAAAATTATCTTTGTCTTCTATAAAATTATTAGGGTTTTGGAATCATAAGAGTGGGCTCTGCACTGCTCTACATTACTTTGAAAACTAATTTTAGCTATGTGAAAAGGGTAAGTTAAAATGCTACATTACTTTATTCTGGGGTCGCTGAGATTCTGGCTGCAACATATAGCCTAGACATAACGATCGCATCCTGAAGGTAGATGAGATGACTTCAGAAGTTGCAGAAACCGGTGGGCGTGTGTGAAGATAATACCTAATGAATTTGAATGAAGCGATTGGAATCGAAATATTTCTCCATGGACCGTGCCTTATGGCGTTATGTTTTCTTTATCTATCTACCTCACACGGAACAGGGTGTGAAGGTAGGTAGATAGACAAAAGAAGATCAGTTTTCCCCTTGGACTTAGTATTTAAAGACTGACATAGTAAGGGAAAGAGATATCATGCCCTACCACAATCCTACGAAAGTGAGAGACAGAGAGTAGAAAGAGACGCAACTTGATGTACCTTTGGTCCAATAAAGTAAGAGCCAACATCGTCCTGTCAAGCCATAATGTGATAGAGTTTATTAGGAAATGCTGTAAAACTAAGAAAAAAATTGTGCTTATACAATTCAGTTTGTGTTATGGTCCCGTATTTTAAGCATATCTCGACAAAACGACAGTACCAATCACTCACAAATTCACAATCAAACACCGATACGCACACGTGCACAATTTAATTTTGTGGAACACTTGCGATAGATACTCTGTCTATCTTTGCATCCTATAGCTATGGTTTTCCCCATAGTATTTGTGCTGTAAGTAGGTGCGGGAATTGGAGTTAAAGCGGTTACATCGGTTCTAATACAATAAATATGATTTTGTGAAAATTTGTTGGTGTTTCCATTTACAAGAAACTTTATCTTTATTGGTGGTAAAAGCAACGCCGATATCTGGAAGCGGTAGTGGGGTAGGTTAACACTCGCCCTGCAAATTTTAACTCGTGCCAATAAAGAAACACCGAAATTAATGATACAAGGCATTCGCTCCTTTTCGTATTTAATGAAGAATTTATCCCTGATATCTTGGCAGTGAGTCGATCCGAGAGGAACAGAATCACACCAAAAACATAAATGTAAATAAAATTAAGGTACAAAAACCTTTTTAAAAACAGGCTTTTATTCAAATGCGCTAAAAAGAAAAAAAGAAAATTTAGTTAAAGTTTGTTTCTAAATAGATTTTCAAATTTTAGAAGTCCGCCATATTGGATTGAGAGTGACGTCACATTTTTTTCGAGTTACTCTCAGCAAGCCCTTTAATTTGATACCCATATTGTAGGAATGCATTAAAAATGATTGGTCCGCCATTTTGGGTATGCCGCCATATTGGATTTAGAATGACGTCACACTGTTAAGCATGCATTGTCATCCGAACTGAACGAGCATACCAAATTTCAGCTTAATCGGTTGAGGGCAAGTGCTTTAAAATTGAGTTGTAAGATTTGACCGTAACAAACATACATAGCAAGTTAAATAAAAGCTTGTAAAAAGGAGAGCCAAGTTCAATGGAAAAATTATGCTTCGCTGTGGGCTACGCCACAAAAAGAATGGAGATCTAAATGAGTGCCAAGTTCTATGCAAAATCCAAATATGTATTTATAGGAACAAAATAACATTATGAACAAGTATTAAACTCTATTTCTTTGCTTTATTGGATACCTATAACATGCGCTGTTATTTAAAAATATGAGATCTTAAAGTAGGTTAGACTTGATTGATATAAACACACCGTTGGCCGGTTGTTTAGCGCGTATTACAAGTTTTTTATATGGGGACACAACTTATTTTTTGATTTAAATTTATTTTTATATTTCTGTTATATAGCAAATATAATAATACATTTATATTGGGGTAGTTTCAAATGTCTGCTTGTAACGGTTCAAACGCTACATTTTTTTTGTATGCCCCCCCCCCTTTTTAAATTTGTTTTATTTTTAGATTTTTTCCTACGTGTACACTATTACCGGGATTGGATTCCAAATTTCATTCTTCTAGTCAGTCAGTGCTAAAATTTACGACTTTTTGACCTTCATATCTTTATAACCGTAGAGCTAGCTTCATGAAATTTGGGCTTTTAGATGTCCTTATGGATATAATTAAACACACATAGTTTTATGTTTTTACGTTAAAGAGGTTTTGAGTTATAGAAGGGTCAAAAGTGGCATCAAGTGGTCAAAAGTGGCATCATATTACACTCGGCGCTGGCTAGCCAGTTCCTTTGCTTGAACTTGGCTTGACACACTGCTGCGTGTCTGTTACTTCGTCATTTTATATTCCGTAATAAACGAAGTATGAGTTTTTTTTATTTCATTACAGACACAATCTCCATCATTTCGATCAAATGTTTGTCCACGCACGACGCCACATCGCGTCTGGCACTTTTGAAGTTTACAAAGAACATATAATCAAGCAATATGAAACGTACAAGCAGCAAGTGCTAATTGAAAATGACATAGGAAAAGATTGTGAATCAGTGAAAACTACGAAGAAAATTCGTGTAAGTGACGATATAACTGAAAACGTAGTTAGTGCATAAGTAATGTGTATTTGTAGCAAGATTTGTTAGAAATAAGTAATATGTTAACAATAAAGTTAAAGAAAATATAACTAGAAAAAAATCCACGCTGACCAGGCAGCTGGTACTAGTTATATTTTCTTTAGATTTAAACATCAAGCAGTTACATGCTTATAAAATAGAATTATAACAATAAAGTTGTGAAAAGTAGTTAAGTATATATTTTCTTAGTTTAAATTTTAATGTCCCTGTGGTACAACAGTCAAGATTATGCGTACTTTTAAACTACGCAGACAAACTATAAAAATGTGTATGTTAAAACATTATAAAAGGTCATCAACAATGATTTTATATTATTCTGACGACGCAGCCTGAAATGGAATGGGAAATGATTTTAAAAGAAATCAGACAAACTAGTTAAGAAACACCCAGTAAAAGTGAGAAATACGAAAGTAACAAAAATATAATCACTAACACAAAATTTCATGATATATTCTATGTTCACGGAAACGATTTAGTGGACGGCTTTCTTTATCATACAATGGCTTGCAGAAGCTAAGGATATTATAAGACTGCGTCATAATACGTGAAGACTACCATTGGCCGGAGTAAAGACATCAACACAATCCGGCCAATGGCAGAAAGATCAGATTTCGACGGTGCTAGATCATTTCCGTGAATAAAAAAAACTTAACACATATTAAGTATTTGTGCTTTAAGCTGTTTATAAACATTTCTGATTGAATTTTGTCAATATGTAACGCGATGACGTAGCCTGGTTATTAATTATTAAGGACGGTTTAATTAATGTAACAAGAAGTGATACATCTTTAGTTTCTGCAATAAAATATATAATGCAAAGCTAATCGGAGAGGGCGCCAAGTGGTTTTGTACGCAAAGATGTCACATTTTTTAGTTCGTCACACATATTGACTTGACAACATTGTTTACGCTGTAGTTAGAGTGGCGCCTCTATGGGAATAAAAAGGGAAATAATATTCCCCATCGAGAGGAAATGCTATATTTAAGTTGAAATATTTGTATGGATAATATGGTGAAACTTTGTACAGGTAAATAAAAAAAAACAATACTTACATCTTGTTAAGAAATTATAATAACATATGTGCTGTTAGCTTAGATTAAATCAAAAAAGGTACGATCTTACTTGCGTCAAATAAAAAAATGATCAGACTCAACTATTTAAGCAACTCTTACACACGCACACATATAAATAAACATTGAATCGAGCGAGCGAGACAGAATGGTATGCTTCAACGTAGCACCGCGACCGCGACGGTGAGTCCGCGTCGCTTGGCAACCAACTGCGTTTTCTTTTCTCTCTCTATATCAGAGTGGTATTGCTGTTTTTTTCTTGATAAATAATGGCGAATATGAGCGAGCTACATTCATGTCAAACCTTGATTGTTGAGAGAAAAATGTTACTTCATTGTTTTACGAATGAAAAGTGATGTCGTGAAATTTGTTATTTGTTCTTAAACTGTTTGTGCAATTTTAAAAAGCATCGAAGGCATTGCTTCATCTTTTTAACACAGAATATCCCCAAAATTGTTAGTAAGAGTGCCCATGCGGCTTGTGCCTCAGTCTGGGCCTTAGATTAAAACAAAAAGGGAAGATACGGCACTCGCGGCTCAAAAGTGATCCGCTTAAATTGTGGTGCACGATCACAATTCGCTGTAGTCACAATTGGACATTCAAACACGCTGCATGTACACTCAATATAACATATTGCGTATATTATGTGTTATAAAGATAAAGCAATGCCTTCGATGCTTTTATAAAAAAACACAAATAGTTCAAAATCAAATGCCTTGGCAACACTTCTCATTCCTTAAACTGTAAAACATTTTTTTTAAAAGTCACGGTTTGTCGTGAATGTTATTTACGTAATCGCCTTTTTGTTTTCAAGAAAAGGACAACAATACAGCTCTGCCGTTCGCACTCGGAAGCTGATTCGCCGTTTCGCTCGCTCTGCGTTGAAGCATACAGTTCTGTCTCGATCGCTCAATTGAATATTATTTACAGACGTGTGCGTGTGTGAGAGTTACTTATGTAGTTAAGTCGGATCATATTTAATTTGCTAGTATGAGCGTACCGTATTCTCGCTTTTTGTTTTAATCTAAGGTCTGGGTACATGGATAGGCTGATGATGAAATGTAGTTCGTGTCATTGAAAGTAGAGCCGTCGATCCCAATAGAACGCGAATTCACGATCATCACTAAGCTCGCGGGAATTTGTTTTTTATATATTCTAATCAAATTAAATCACGCGAACGTCAATTGGGCCACTTATTCTACATTCATTATATTCGATTGTAGTTCGTGTGACCAAAATAATTTACGTTTAATAAGAAAGACACCAACCAATAACAAATCTTGCCTTTTTTGTCGTTACCATTACTCATACAGCCAGCTCGAGTCACCGAGGCCAGAAATGACGTAATGACAAAATTGAAAATGACACCACGGAAAAATTGTATAAGCATTAAATATTCTTATTCACCTTCATAACATACCTACACGATTAATTTGTTGGTGATAAGTATCGTAATAAAGGAAGGGCCTGTTTTGATTATTCGACTCGAAACAATGAAATAATTACAAGTCCTTCCACTGAAAAACAGAAGTTTTCATAAAGAAAGACATAATTACTATATACACTTAAGAACAATGAAAAGGACTCAATATGAATGAACAAAAATAGGTATCAATTTAAAGCTTGATAATAATTGCCTTAATGTATCTATTTCATTTTATCATATCAATTAAAACTGTCGGGCGGGAAGAACTTAAAAGTAATAACCTAGTTGAGTCCATTATTTGCTCCATATTTGTCGCTCTTCCCTCTTGCGCAATGGAAAGCGACCATTAGTATCTTGTATTTATCAGCCGCACTAAAGGCTCTTATTAAAGAATGACAACTAAGTGTTGATCTTTACTTGAGTACAGTTAGAAGCGGATGTGGCTATGTGCTGTACTGTATAGCGACATCCCTCTCTATATATACTCAAAACTAGATTAATTACTGAGAATCTTTCTACAATATGGGCCTTAGAGAGGCTAATTAAATTTCATTATTGTCAAAGTTCTGTTTGTTTCACTTGATTGTTATCCCCGCAAAAGTGATAGCAAACAGCATTATTAATCAAACTTAAAACCATATGACGTCTTTGTGTGCAGCCGTTAGTAGGTAGTAGATAAGTAGGTTGCATTCATTAAGATTAATCAATGTCGATCTTTTAAAAGTAGTCTTGCTGTTATGAGTTCTGACCTACTAGTGTTACCGTGTAAGTATTTTTGGCTTGGATGTCGGTTACCGTTGAGCCACGTCATTGACACACCTCCGCCTAAATTAAGATTTGGCAATGGCTAGGAATTAATTGTAAAAAGCGTGGCTATAAGTACCACCTGAGTTACAAATACAAACATTACATACTTAGGCCGCGTTGTTTAATGTTAATTTCACGATAAATAGGTACATAGTAAATGTGTAAAATTTTTATTAATATGTATTTTTCTCGGGTATTTTAACTGTAGTCTAGTTATAGTTGAAACAACGCGGCGAAATTTACCATTGTAATTTTCGTGAACGTCTGAATCTAGTGACCTACGAGAAATGATAAATCTTTTCATTTATTTGTGATTCTAAATACCATTTTAATGTCACATTGAATAGTATTATGATAGGAGTTGAAAGATCGTTTGATAGTGATGACGTAGATTTGGGAATTACAGTTTCTTGGCTATCATTATGCGAATGCCTATGCCTATCCCATATTATTAAGTATAAGTTTAGCAACTCAATTTAAAACGACAAAAAGGAGTAAATGAAAGAAATTGAATAACACATTTTACATATATTTTACTGATAATATTTACACAATAATTTTAGTGACCACACTTATTGAGCTAGGCATTTCTGAAATGTGCATCAAGATTATTTTTAATGTAATCGAATTACATTACAGATAAGCTAAAATTTTAGATTTGGCAGGATTTTGATCGACGATGTCACATTCCAAACTTTAATTTAATATAAATACTAATGATATAATAATATTGGATGGTAAACACAACCGTTACATAAAATATTATATATTGAAAAACAGCATTGTATAACAACGTTTTATAAATTCAAATAAATACATGGCAACACATTTTTGTCATGTAGTCAGAAGAGAAAAATTGTTAAAAAAAATAGTACTTACATAAATTCATGTTCATTAAATATGTAATGATAAATTTGGCAAATTAATTTTCTCTAATTTGGCACACACAGCATTTCATTTAATTAGCCTAGATAATTCAGTGTGTCTTTATATATCAATAAATAAATAATTTTATTTAATCTATAGGAATATACATCAAAATAAGTTAGTGACTGTCTTTTAGTAGGTATATCAAAACTTGTATAATAAATCAGTACAAAGTTTGAGTTTCAAAACGAATCATAATTTCCGATAAATAAGTACATGTTCTATATAAAATGCAATTGCAATGAGCATTTTTGTGCATGGACTGATCTTAACTTCATTTTACAAAAAGTAACTATTCTTGCAAAGCGATCAGACACTTAACTTAATTGGAATATAAAAAATTGTAAAATGTATCAATAATAATTACAATGCGCCAGGCATTTACTGTTGAATACGTTAATTCTATTGTATCCACAAGATCATTGAGAAATTTATTAACGACAAAAAAGAGTCATGGTATGATGTACCCATGAAGTTGTAAATGTGATTCAAGTAGTTGTTGCATAGAAAGCTTTTTTGAAGATCTCATTACGCTTTTTAATACGGATATTGTAAGGAGTTCCATAGAAAACCTTACTTTGAGATCCAACACGACGCATGACATCGACAGAACTTTGTTCAAGTAAGCATCACACTTCACTGCACTAAAGCTAACTCTATTTTAGAGTTTCCTACAAAACTTTAGCTTATTTATGTCCCATTCACTGGTTTAACACTATTTTAAGTATCACATGTCCTTCTTTTTCTTTTCACATTTAATGAGACAGTAATATATTTGCTGCCGGCTTGCACACTATACAAAGTCATTTGTAGCTGGTGTATTGAGTGGTTCTTGGGCCTGGAAAGAAAGAAAAATAAACATTAGCACACTTTTAAATGCACGTCCAACTGTTACATAATTTATTTAAATATAGCTATGCTGTACTAAGAAGAGAAACGAGAGAGAACCTGCCAATTGTGGGTCGTGTTAATATAGAAAATGACTTTGTATTCTTCTCAAATATAACTGAGATCTAGGCAGGCAAATCATCTTACCGATATGTGTTTACTTCTAAAAATATTTCATTGCTATTTAAAAGTTGCTCTATGTAGAATTGCTCATCAAAAAGTCATTTTTTTACCAACATAAATTGAACGTAAAGATGTTTAGAGTCAGTTAAGAGAACAACTACTTATGAGTTTTCCATAGTCCTATACCATCAATTATTGTATTAATAATGTCCTGACATTAAGTATAATATGAATTTACAATAAAGTCTGATGTGAGATAATTGATTGCAGTCATGCATAATTGTATTTTAATCATAGATTAAGTGAACTTAGCTCGCAGGTGCATCGTAGTTGTGTTTTTTTTGTACCTATACATGTAGACAAGTAGGTACTTAAATATCGAATGATGACGATCTCGCATGGTATGGGAAATTAAAAAAAAGTGAAAGCAGTTTGTCCTTAAACGTAATGTTCATGGGCACTCAGAAACCTACTGCACGGCATTTTTACATATTGCTTTTAAAGCGTCCTAGACATTACTTTGCAAAGAATAGATGTTAAAAATTACACAAATATAATTAATTATATTTAAAAAAAAATCTATTAAAATGCGTAAATGTCGTGCTACATACAACTTACCATGTTTATAGCCCTCGCATGTTAATGCATGAAAACACAAAACTTTCGGCAGTGAAACATTATCATTTCTAAGACAAAGCGGAAGGCAAAATACAAAAGGAAAATCATACAATTATCTAATTAAAAAGGGACTATTTACAGCATTATACACCTACCATTTATAACCAATAATACACTTTGGCAACTATTTTTCTTAATACTGATGCGGTAAAAATGTTGGCACACTTAATTGCCCAAATTCTTATTATCTAAACGAAAATATTTTGCTATAAATCCCTTAAAATAATGTAGTAAATATAACTCTAAGTACATCAAGTTTAAAATGTCTTAGGCAGACCTTAATTTTACTATAGTAAAATATCCCTAAGTGTTATCTTGTCTATTTACAATCTTGGCCAAGTTAATTCTGGGGTCTTATAACTTTCATTGTACAAGACAACTAATTTAATATTATAGAAGTGATATTTCCAAAATAAATATTTATAGATTTTTTTTGGTAAAAATATATGAAAATTAAGATCTACAAAGGTTCGGTGGCGTTGAAACGGCCACTTACATTAATTGGCTCCTTGCTGGAGGGGAGTTGTGCATTGGGAGACTTATCTTAAACTGTTCTGTATGTTTAGAGTGCATTCCATTGCTGTTAGCGCTCTTACCTCCTCTCCCACAGTGCTCGGGTACAGCTTCGATCCCGGTGCATAACCATTTTTCTCCAGTGCGAATTGGTCTTCTGTTTGCTTGCGGTACACCGGGTTGTCGAAGTTCATAGATCTGACGTTGCGGTGCACGTAGTGACGGTACACGAGCATAGCGATCTGTATTAAAAGAAAAAAAAACAATTGTATCAATTGTTCTGGGCGCTTTTCAGTTAGAATAAGGTTATACATAAAATTGGTGGACAAAAAGAAAATTACCCGCTTCCGTACTAAAATTGGCATCATGACCGTCTTTAAATTAAAGGCACATTTTTACACTGGTGAACAAAAAATTAAGCCACCCCATTATTTTTTAGGATTTATTCCTTAATATCCTTGGTACGCTCTGTTAAAAATATTGAGTTCAAATTGCATTGTTCCAATTAAGCATTAATACATTTATCAATGTATTGTGTAAATGTAATGTAGATTGATAAATGTATTAATGCTTAATTGGAACAATGCAATTTGAACTCAATATTTTTAACAGAACGTACCAAGGTTATTAAGGAATAAATCCTGAAAAATAATGGGGTGGCTTAATTTTTTGTCCACCGGTTAATACCGCCCTAAAACATTTCATAAAATCGGCCGGAGGACTACACCATTGTCGCTTACATATGCATTTAATAAATGTTGCTACCTATATAAAAATATAGCTTCTACATTATGTCAACTCCCGATCATGTCTTTCAGTAAAGCCGAAATAGTAACTACAATGATTGCAACGGAACTGTGAAGTGAGTTATTTGTTAGGTCTGAATGTCCGCGTAGGGTTTTTCCTTTAAATAGATGTAATGTAATTTTCAATTAGCGTTAAACAGTTTCAATGTATCCGTAAAGTTTCAAAAAATTCCAAAGTAACTCCTTTATCAATTGACGTCAATTAAGACTGAATTACGTTACAGTGATGTAATTCTCACAAGAAAACCATTGATGACAATCCACTCTCATCATTAGGTACAAGATGAGACTAGAACATTCTGCAAAATGAATGCTACTACTGTATATTTCCATCCTCAGTTGGTAGGATTTCATAATTAATAATGTTAATGTGGGTAATTATTTTAAAGGCCCGTTATCATTAATGTTAATACTTATGATAAATCATCGGCAATTGATATTATCAATATGAATTCAGTTTGTGAGAATTCCATTTTCTGTATTAATTTATCTTATATGAAAGGCTGAAAATAAGAAAAAAATCTAAAGGAATTTAAGGTTGGATTCGACCGTAGTCAACTGTTTTTACGTCGAATGTCACATTGAAAAAGTCGACAGACTGAGCGATTTCTCGAAATCGATATTGAATGTGTCAACACAAACCGTTCATTGGCTTGATTCTTGGTATCGATAATATGACACCACAATTGTTTGATTCGTTAGTCGTTACCTGCAGTAAGTTAAATCAAATCCTGATACCACAGTACTTTGTTCTGTTAGTATTTTGAAGTAATAGCTATATTACATGCAGTTAGTTATATACAGGTATGGTTAAAAATTATTGAAACAAAAAAATTAAATTATTTTTAGCATTATCTATCTAATACTAAGATCAAATGACCTTCAGAGGATTTATTGTTTCTGATTGAAAAGTCCAAAAAACAGGTGTTGACATCTGCAACTTAATTGATTGTCACTAAGTTGACTATAAATTATTGAATGCCCATTGATTACATAGGTAAGTTATATAATCTCATAACATACAGTTTTTTATCTGTTTGATCAATTTTGCTCGTGGAAGATCTTTGATGAATTTATATACCTGTCCCCGTAGCATGAGCACCACAATATACATTATATTACGTTTTTATTGTGTCCAACTGTCAATCTCTATAGTAATTTGACAATTAAGCATGATAAAAACAAGCTACATAATATACTTATCATTTCGCGGTGCTAATGCTAGGGGGTAAAATATGTCCTACTAGACTAAGGAAGGATAAATAATTCACATAAGGAACAAATTCACCATGTGGAGGAAACCTTAAACATTATTATTATTATTGGTAATCTTATTAAACATACCAGTGCTACTAGAATTATAACTACGGTGATGACGCCTACAACGACGGCCGCCACCACACCCGCGTTACGGTCGCTGCTTGAGATTTCTGTGCCAGTCTTGGGCGTTTCGGGGACACCTGTAATACGAAAAGTCACCAATTGAGTAAAACTATTTAATAAGAAGCACTTCAGCAACAAAGAAGACGCTAAAACAATGTGCTGTACGAAAGTATTCGTATATCGCCATCGTCAATGTTTCTTTGGACGGAACTAATTTCTTCTTGCGTCCGCTGCCTACTTTCCATAGAAATTTGACGATGGCGATACGAATCTTTCTCGCTATTTGTTCGTGCTGCTAAGGCCCTTTTTAATCGATCGCTCTCAACTCTGAGACTACGATCTTGAGATACTGTTTTCATACAAAACAGCGTCTCAAGATCGTTCCCAAAATCACTCTCAGAGTTGAGAATGATCTATTAATACGCGGCTAAACTGCAGCACATTTCTACGTCTGCTTTGTTTTTGCGTCTGCTTTGTTGGGAATGTAAATTCAACTTGAGTTAGATGGTATTGTTATGTTATCGAAACACAGATTGTCAATTGTGTTGCAGTGTTATGAAAGGGTTATTGACACAACACTGTTCACATGAACTAAAGTATCTCCCACCACCATGAGACAGTAAGCGGAGCGGAGAGGTTTTAATTAGATTAGTTAGTGCAATATTTATTCCGTTTAGATAATTAAAAATATTCATTAAAATATTACAATAAGGCAACAAAAATGTTCCTGTTACAATTGTTCGAATTTTGTTTTATCTTTTAATATTATTTTGAAATAGGCGGTTGTACTAACATGTAATTTTTGCAGTATCGCAAATACAGTACATCTATGTTTTAATGACCAAATTAATAAGATACTTGCTCCCGCTAGGTAGTTATTTTGTCATAAACAATATTGCTTTAGTGTAATAATAATATGACTTTACCGGTTTTGTTGTGTTGTTGGATGTTTTCACACTTACCTATATTGTCATAATAATTGTTATTTATATTATGTTCTCAAAAATTTTCTTTTTTAAGAAATATAACGATTATAGCAAATTGTTTTCTAATTGCAGACACTCAATAAATGGCAGTTAATATCCTTATAACAGAATACTTTGCCAGAAGATTTTGTTTTATTTTATCGCGATCACAATTATCATTGTGGTAAAATTTGTAATTTGTTCTACTTGAAAAGAATTAATTTTAAAGATAACAGAGATTGATGTGACTCTACGCTTTATACACCCGTTCAAAATATAATGGTTGAAATTACAATTACAATAGTATTGTTGTCATTATTATGCGAATTGAGGTATTCATCAAGTACTTTCTATTCAATTTAATTTCAAGCTATTCTAGGTTAGTTAACAACAACAGCGTCAATAATTAAAATTTCATAAGTTATTTTATGTAGTTACTGTGTTAGCACTAAATATTCATGCACCCAGTTCAATGCGAATCTGTGTGTCTTCTTAACTAAATAAAACAGTGGTTGTTAATTTTTACAAGTCTAGATACTTTACCCTCGTTTCTATTGTTGAGGATTTCTGGTAAGTAGGCTAGGGTTTTGCCAAATTTGTAATGAGATTCCGTAAATTTTCCTTCAACAGCGTCTGGTATTCTTTCCAGAGCAACGCCTCTTTGGTATAAATCTATAAATTCCTGGTTTCGATTGATCGATTCTTCTTTATCCCTCTGCCAATATAACATCATCGGTTCCGTATCACTCGTCAAAGCTGCCTGCTTCGGTGCTTCAGCAGATTCAGTTGGCTCCTCACTTTTTAAAACAGCACGTGCGTTTTTCACGAGAAGGCTTATAAGCCTTTCTCCTCGTTTATCCACCATATGTTAAGACAATTTTCACTGATGATTCGCTTATTGATAACTAATTCACCCGATTGAAATATTTTTGGCATGCCCTGTAAATCAGTCAATGAATCCCAAGATGAAGACACACAGATACTTTCAAACATTTACAGTGATGTCGGATTTTAGTAAAGAAATACAGGTTAGTGATGATCGGTGATTTTATTTCCCAATTATATAGATCTCGCTTTATCTTATCTGATATAATGAAACCTCAACCATTTGCAAGCAATTAACAACTTTGTGGCATTTCAGACGATCCTTTTAATTGATAAAACAAATTAACTTCACTATCTATCACAAGTAATTCTGATTTGAAAAGCAAGTACATTCACTTTCGTCAATTAAAAACGTCTAACCTCAAATGCTGCAAAGTTGTTTCAACAGGCACGCACAGTAAATTAGGAAGGAAAAAGGACTCAAGAACCACAAAACCACTTTTCCATTTTCAATACTCACTGGTAACAGATTTTTCTTCATTTATTATAGGAGGTTTTGTACCAACATTCTGTTTTTGCACTTCCACATCTTGTTCCGAATCTGTAGATTTATTATAAAATAACCTTAACAAATGTTTCCAAAATATGTCCCTTGGTGTTTTATGTCTAGGTTATGTTATTAATTCAAGGTAAAAACTGAAGTAATTGTTTAGTATGCGCTGGCGGTATGCGTGTAGTGTCGCGCGAGTTACGACACAGAATAAAACTGAGCCAGGTTGGAACCGAAAAAATGCTCGCGCGCCATTGACGTCCCGCCACGGCTTCGGCCCGTCAAATTAACTGGCCGCGATCCGGCACTCGGTATGGTTTCGGCGTTTCTAATTACTTAACTATTCGTTGTCTGTAGGTACGTGAGTACTATGTTCTAACGGGTTAAATAGTTTAGCTACTTTATTTCTAGTAGAACACTAGTTACATTTTATAAATTGATGCTAGCTTGCGTTTAACGTATTTTTTATTTAATCTAGAAATTATTTTTAATATTATATATGAGTAGGCATCAAGGGTATAAATTAGTTTTTTAGAGAGAGACGAACTTCTTGGCAATCCATGGATTTACCGTGCGGGTGCCAGGTCCATTATGTGGGAGAGAGAGAGAAACTGATAATAAAATATGTACTTCGTACATATAATAGATAATATTTGAGTATAAATGAAGTATTTCTTTTAGCTTTATTACATTATCTGCAAACGTCAGTACCACTTAATTTCATAGAAATTGCTGTGTTAAGTTTGCAGTGTCCAGTTAAGGCACTCAGCAGACCTAGCATCCGCAGTCCTTTTTTGCGAGTAAGTAACCTTCTATAAGTGATTTGGTGTATTCTAATCCTGGTTGGTTTTACTAAGTAGTATTTATTCAATTCGTCTAAGAGTTCGTCCTTTTATAGAAGTAACACAGATGTTTCATTAAGGATTTTGTTTCCATTCTATTTTATAATAACTACATACTCATCCTTTAATAAAAATTACGCTGCTGACTTATTTACATCAAATTTAGGTTTAGTGCAAAGAAAATCGAAATAAAACTATTTCGATTCGAACACGTGCGAGCGTCGTGCCGGATCGCGTGGGGATTGACTAACAAAAGGTGGCGTGATGTCGTGACGTCACCTCACTAGCGGACTAAACTGTCAAGTCAGTGTGCGTGTGATGAAAAAATTCCTTAACTAATCAGTCGGTCGGTATCCTGTTAATTTGTAGGAATTCCTCTTGCATCATTTTCTGTAATCTTCCAAAGCAGTCCTAAATGAATACTCTAAGTAAGAGTTTCGCTTTGCCTTTACTCAATCCTTGACTGATTTAATATAGCGCCTCAGACGGCCGCCGAGACGCGTGTGTACGATAATCCTACACATTTGACCCAAAATTTCATTCTCATGTTTAATAAGATAGCCGCCTTGAAAACAATAATGAATGAGTAATTCTGCTTACAACTGATTTACAAGTGCGAGTAAAGTAGATAAGGTAGCAGGCGTGGTATGTTCCTATCAACTTCAAGGCCACACACACGCGGGGCGCCTGCAATTATTTCAAACATCGTCCGATGTAGCGTCATCAGATGACGTGGCGATTACGCAGCGGTGCTATACTTCCATAGATAATTTACTTAGCATAGTGTAACAAACACAGTTCAAATGGTGATTCAACAATATTTGTTCATTTGTTTCATCATTCATATTTTTCGGTGATGATACCTTCTATTATATGAATTTATGATTCGCAACGGATACATACATTTGTTTGACAAACAATTCCAACGATTTGTGGGTGGATGTTTGAAATTTAACAGTTGTGTCATTTATTTTCGATAATTCGAGACTAATTCCTCGATTAGAGAAATATAGTAATATTGCTTTAACACCGATATGACACGTGCTTTGTAAAATAAACGCAGCAAACCTTTCTCTAAGTATCATAGGTGTCAAGGAAAGGTAATGTACTAGAATGTTTTAACCATGATTGTTGTTTTGTTTAACGCAAAGTAACAGTTAAAGCAATAGTACAATGATGTTTGTGAGTGTAAGCGTTTACTAGATAAATTAACTTTAGGATGTTATTTACTCTTGTTGAATTAGTCTAGCTTAATTTTATTAAAACGAAACTAGACGATGTCCTTGATAGTAAGTACTTGCTTTTAAGCAGCATACTTAATGAGTGAAGGTTCTTTCAATATATATTAGAAAGTCAGACTTAGAGCCATATCTAATTGATTAACCGTTTCGTTTGGAAATGTTTATTTGCACGCAACATAATTTTCAATGAAGAGAATCCGAGAAATCGGAGGGAATCTTCGAAATTATTCATTCTCATGACTTGTTAAACTTTATAACTTTTTCATTTAGGGTGTAGGCCCTTAATGTAAAGCTATTCAATTGAAAAGGTCGACTTCCATCAATGATTGATGAGTACAAACGTCTTTTTTATTGACCACAATCAATTGTATTCCAATCAACGGATGAACGAACCTAACAAGGTACTTCTGGTCTTATAGATCTTTTAAATAGATGTCTCAGCTCAAGTAGGACTACGAGTACATTTTGTAGTTCTTTTCAAACAACATTTTTTATGAGCGTTTCTAAATTGCGTCTCCTCAATTATTTTCTATAGCTACGCAATGGTAAAAAATGTTTTGCTTTTAGCAAAAGTATAAAGTTCAAGACCGTACTTTTTACCATTTAAAAATTGTATAATGGTTGTAAGCAGATAAATTTGTACATGATATATAATAAATGAATACTACGTGATTTATGCTCTAAAACGTCAATGCGTAAGATAAGGAAAAGACAGACGTTAATGGATTTGAGACTTGTGCCTTTTAAACTAGGAATAGGTATTTGTATGTTCGTTGATTTTACCTAAAGTATGTCATGCACTTAATCATTGTTTATGCGTCGTCTACACAGGATAGTAGCATATTTAAAAATATGGTTGACAATTGAATAATTATCTCCAATTGTAGAGAGCGTGCAATTTCCTAAATTGAATCAAATCAGCTTCACCACAGTAATGATTGGCGACATGCATACCTGTATAATTCAATACAGACCGTCTCATCATGCAATAGACCCAATATTATTATCTTATTGTCTTCCACCCATACAACAAAAGTTTGAGGTCAGTATACTGTTGTATCAAAGTTTTTTTGATAAAAATCTATTTTATTTCCTTCAGCACTCTGGATTTTCCTTTGAAACTATATTTTGAACCGTGTAGGTTATTTTGAATCTCTAACTTCCTCAAAACTGAACAGTTATTTGAAATCATTGCATATTTGATTTTCTGTTCTTTTTGTGTCGGTAGGCATTTAGCTATCTATCACCATGCACGGCGTTTTATATAATATAGTGTAACACAAATTAAAGTAAAAAAATCTGTAAAGAAAAATAATCATTATACTCAACCTAAGGAAAATATAAATTATAGGTACAGTCAGAAGCTTTAATTTGGGTTGCATTTCATTGAAATCTGGTTTGAATATTTGTATTGCAATAAGGTCGAAATCTCCATATAAATATGGTGTTGTATCGTCAAGTCAAAATATTTTCAAATTACTTGACATTTCTGAATATTTATTTCGTTTTTTTTTTATCAAGAACAATTTTTCAGTGTCTCACAAGGAAATCATATTGACAATCTAAGCAAATGTAATCAATTCACTGTCATTTCTGACACCCTTATCCAAATTTTCACAAATTAATTATAACTTTTTTCCTTTTATTTCATACATATTTATTTATAAACGATAACAATTAACATTATCAGAAAGAACAGCAGGAAAGTTAAATAGTAAGTTGATAAATCAGGAATTTCCGTACGCTTCCCTGGCCTAATAGTAAGCACGTTAAACTGAGCAGTTGTCTCTACTGACATAATATAAACTGTGCATATTATGTTGTCATAGCAACGCATCTGTCAAAAAATTTGCTCTTATGTATTATCTCTTATGTCCTTTTGCTGTCCAATATTAAATCTTACGCGGATCCCAAACTAAAGAACGTGACCGTACATTTCAATAAGCATAAAATATTTAATGCCTAATTACGTTGCGTTGTTTCTTGCAACCGAGTACTCTAACTGCGTCAGAGCAGTACCGAAGACCGGTTAACCCTGACTGAAATGTTGTTACATAACATTTGGATTTGACTTCATCGGATGTTGATGAATCGTATTTGCTTGAATGAGGTTTTGTTGATTCATTAAAATTAGGTAAAGTGAGTAAGTACCCTTATAATCTCGTCTCTCAACTGTACCCTAAGCACAAACAACTATCGAGAAATTATTCGTATCGTGATGTCAAACATTTTATGGAAAAAGTTAGTTCTTTAAGTCCGGTAGGTTCGCTGCTTAGTTTCCATAGAAAAATTGACGTTGGCGATACGAATTCCGACCTGTCAAAGTTTGTGCTTGGGATACCTGCTGGAGGCGAGGTAGGTAACATTTTCCTAACATTGAAAAAAAGGTACTTACTGTCTTCGACGCACATCAGGTTGTCTGGCAACAGTCTGAGACCATTTGGACAGGCGCAGGAGACGCGAGGCGAATTAGGTCCTATCCTGGGTGCTGGCAGGCAGAGGTGAGAGCAGTGGCCGTTGACTGCCGCGCAGTGGTTCACCCCGTCGGGTTGGCGGTAAGGGTGGTACACATGAATCACCATGGGATTCTGGAGCTGTTGTAGACAAAGAAACATGTTCACCCTCTGTGCTATTCGATTTTAAAATCTAAGGTTTGTTGTTTCCGATGTTTCTGCCAGGTTATACCGTCTGTGGTAACGAGACAATAAAAATGTACGTACCTACGTAAATCTTAAGAAGTATGCGCGCTTAGAAACAATTGAAAGATTACATTGAAAATGCACACGGGATATTTTACAAGTACAATTATGTACTCGTGTTATTCGTTAATCAAATATAAAATACTATTGTTCGTAGAATTCAATGGGTGTACTGTATAACAGTAAGGAAGGTTTTTAGCCTTCCCAACTACCATTATGTTTTTTTATAAAAATAAGGTTCACAGATTGTCTCTTTATACGGCGAAAATCCAGAATCTATAAAGTATGGAACAAAACATTGACTTTTCTAAAAAAACTTGATGATAATAATATTTTGTTAACCTTCACAATTACTCATTAGTTTTTTACTTGTTTGAGTTAACTTAGACGTTTAATAAGTACGTACTTACCTTTATGAATAAGTTATTCGCATGTATGTATTCCTGATATATTTCCGATGCATACTCGGAAACGTAAAACAGTTAACTGATGTTTGCGTAGGTACAATAAAGCAAGGTTTTCCATGAACTCGGCATTTTCATTTAATATTTGGAATAAGCATAAGAAAAAGCTCGAGATAAGACTTTGCCACATTGTCAGTAACAGTATTCCAATGAATAGCACAGTTTCAATAACTAGGCAAATGACCTGCGCAAAATACTTATATATGTTTAAATATTTTATTTATACTGATTTATTTAACTCATACAGGCACACTTTGACACTCTGCTACTTTCTTAGTGAGGTCCTTCATATTCACAGGTTGTCACTAATGATGGCCAATGTGTGGGCAGATCGCGAGAGTTGACGTTGGTGTAGGATTCATGGCACTATGATGCCATGGCTAATATTGCTAATATTTGTATCAAAATTACCCCAATGCTAATTTCTTGTTCCAAACATTGGACAATTGGGATTGGGACCAACACGTTTGGAGCTGGTTGGTATTAGTAATATGACATACTTTATCTCAGTACTAACTACGTTATTTGTTTATGATCGTGGTATTATTTGAAGGGTGACTGAAATTAATTGAGTTAATGTAAAATATAATGAAAATATGTACCAAGTGCACAGCAGCTATCAACATTTTTGATGTCATTCGTGGCACAGGTGCTCAAATAATTAGCCAATCTTAATTACTAATTACCTATAATGACACGATTATTTGAAACAAAACATTATAATTGATAAAAAAAATCATTCAATAAATTGATTGACGTAAGAGACGGCAATGATAACTATATAAGTTATTTTATGAAGTAAGTATGATAAGTTTAGGTACCTACCTAATTATACTAGCAAATTGAACAGCATCATGTAAATTGTTCTGATCCTAAAACACTTAAAAATATTGTTATACGAAATTCAGTACACGCCTACACTGAAGGAGATGTTAAATGAGAGAGTCGATGTTTCTGTTTCTATAAAAAAGGGGTTCAGTCTAGTCAGGCAAGATATAGATACTGCTACTAGATACTGTCATTCTTCTTCATTATCTTTGGACTTAAGCGTCACCAACCACGGTACGAAATACATACGGTCGCTAAACATTAGTTTGGTTGTCTTTTGCTATAGCTTGGTAACTAAAATGTACGTTGTGGTACTTACAGTGTGTGTAGACGTGATAGCCTCAACATCTTTCCCGTTGAACTTGTTGGCTCGGTACACGGCAGTCTTGTCCCAATCGGTCCAGTACACCCAATCTTCGAAGGTGGTGATCGAGAACGGATGACGAAGTACATCAGTGGAGTAGAGGATCACCCTGCGCCCGGTACCGTCGTAGTTGCAAGAGGAGATGGTGTTCATTTTTGCATCCACCTTAAAAAAGCGTATTTCAAAATGTGTCTTTTTGGGAAAATTAAAGGAGATATTTATAATCCGAACAGTAAAATATGAAAAACTCGGCATTGCAGAATATAAGAGCAAGCTCACATTGAGCCACTGGTGGCGGCCACTAAAGGTATCCACAACCTGCGGTCGAGTTTTTCATACATTTTGTATTGTATTGGCGCAAACTCAGCGTTGGAATGGCTGCCACTAAGCCACTAGCGGCGGCAATCGGTGGCTGCGTCAAGTGGCGTGACTGAGCTACTAATGGCCGCCACTATTGGCTCAATGTGCGCTTGCCCTAAATGGAACTAACTATCAATTCAACTTAGCACACTGCAAAGGCACAATAATTCGGAAATAATTACATTCTAGAATTTTGATTATCAAATTAGGTAGGTAATCGTAAATTTTGGAATAAGTACAAATTTCGTTTGTTTTGTGTAATATATTAACGTTTTAATAAAGAAAAATAAAGGATTAAAATGATTGATGAAACAATTTTTACAGACAAAACAAAAAAAAAACCTCTCTGTAATTGATGTGTGTTAGTAATTATGACAACAAAATCTTTTTTGTTTTCTGCTTAAAAAAACTGTTTGCTTCTTTTGAGATAATTTGTTTTGGAACGTATTTTTCTTCCTATTGTTAGAGATCGTCTGTCGTAAATCTAAATACTTATTCTCCTTCCAATTTTTTCATAACTTTATCTATTTATTTATATTTTTAAAGACTGTATGAAATAAATAAATATTTAGGCGATCATATTCAACATAGATGACTTACTCAGTAGTCTATTTAAAACGTTATTAGCTGACTAAACCGTTGACCTCAATAAATTTTCTTATAGTTTTCTGCTTCTTTAGATTCAATATGCCTTAGTATCGATTTGTTATTATGTAGGTATACAAGGCTCTCATTCATGTTCTTAAAGAAATATTGCCGCGTAGTTTGGTAATGAAAACTTTCCGAGATAATGCTAATTTATTTCATCTAAGTATCTGTTTTATCACAATCAATTATCCCTTCGCCTACCTTATCGCACGCAAGATCTATTTTCATAACACTCTTATCGTAATCAATTCGAAGAGTTAAAGAGTTAATAGCCGAGTATTTTTTAAAATCATCTAATTCATAATTATGATTGATATATGCAGTGATTTAGCCTTCGATTGTTTTGAAACAATAAGGACACCTAGTTTTATTGGAATTTATTAACTGCCAATAATTGAATTTCATAGGGTTGTCAATCAAAAAATAAGCGTTATTAATCAACATTAAACTATGCTGTGCTGTGCTTTTTGTGTAATGAACTCGTTGCTCTTAAGATTCGCAATTACCTAGTCCTACTTACTGAATTTCACAAACTATGAAAGAACTGAACACTGATCTAAAGAAAGGATAAACTGGATTGTGGAGGGACAAACTTAATTTTGCTGTTGGGAAACTTTTGTCCCTACAACGTGATCAGTTCAGCAACTGTGCAATTAAATATAGTTACGGTTTTCTGATTTTACCCTGCACCTTATTGGTAATATTAAGTGTTATGCGAGTAAGTATAAACGGGATAATTACTTATATTATTTATTTTTGTTAGAAATCGGGCATACATCCAAAGGGTGGTAAAACTAAACTTTTGTCTTTACATATTTACAGCATTACGTCTTTAACAGTCTTCCACCAAGAATCGTTAAGTTCTATACAAGCAGCACAAGAAAGTTAGCAGGCTCATTGTATGATTTCTTTCACCCCAAGTCCTGCGTTGTAAATTGTTCGCCTTTTTTGAGGTGTCGTGTAAAAAGTACGTGACCATTGTTTATGTAGAACAATATCGGTTTATATAGTAATTCTAAATCATTCATTATTACATATTGATAACAGACGTACGTACGTATGACGTAAATCGTCTGCCTATAATTTGCGTCGCATTTCTATTACTTACTTGTATCGTGAATAAGATCATACTAAACTTAGAAGTTTAAAATAGCGTTGTAGGTACTAATAGTGTTCATAATATATCAAAGCTTAATAGAAGTAGGCAGCTATTTATATATTATGCATTCCCGAATTTCTTGGCAATACATTCGCGATGTGAGAAAGGCGTTAAAAATTGACTATTATATTTAATAACCGGTAGGTTCTCGTGAAAAATAGCTACTTGCAAAACTTTGGAGTATTATGTTGTCTGATCGTGAGAATCTTTGATCGCACATTGAACCCAGAATGGAATCTTCGTTCCACCTATTTTTTTCAGTCAGCTTACGTGCCAACTAATTAGTAACTTTTCATTTTAAATCAGCAATAAAATTACCCGAAATACCCCTGGTGATCCCTGCCATGGAGGCCGCGCCTAACGCTCGGAGACGCGGTCCCACAACGGGAATCTCGCGATTTCGTACTTAACGGCGTAGAGGGTATTCGCAGGGTTTTTTAGCGGATAGTATCATTTTATGCCGTAAGCGCTCGTAAGCCGCACGGACTACCTAACGGCTTCTCCATTTCGCACTCGTGAGACTTGCGAGAGGCTAGGTGTGAGGTCCGTTCGTTGGTGTGCCCTTTAAGGGCGTCAACGTCCGTCAATAGAGGTTTTGCCTGTGTAAACAAAAGGACTTACCCAGTACACACGCTTGCGTACGAGGTCCAACGTCAAACCATTGGGCCATTTGACGTCGTAGGACACGATGGTCTGTCGATGCGAGCCATCCATACCGGCTCGCTCGATCTTCGGCACCTGACCCCAGTCAGTCCAGTACATCCACCTGTTGAAAACAAACAAAACATTAACATAGACACATTGACGCTATTTATATTTTGGATTTGTTTAATGTGTGTGTGTGAGAGAGAGATAGAGAGAGAGAGAGAGAACCATTTAATTGAGCAATAAAACACACAAACATTAATTATAAACAGCTAAAATAAAAACATAGACAAAATGTATAGAAAGTAAGCATCACACTCATTGATAAACCTAACAGTTATAATATTGGTCAATCAGGACCCTGCCTCAACATAATGCTGCCGTGACATGTAACTAAACGTGTCACGACAACGCTGGTATTCTGACAGGGCCTGAATGGTGCACGGTCATTTGATATACAGAGGACATTGTTCAGCGTCCATACATAGTTAGCCTAAGAACCAACAATCATGAAATATTATTTTCTAGGTTCGAAATCGTAAGGAAATGACTGTAAAAACAAAGATTATTGACGGACACTTCTGAGACCTTAAATTATTAGGAAAACTAAAATGTTTTTGAGGTTATGTTTAATATTCAATGAAACATAGGTCAACCTATGAACTTAGTATGTACTCAGTATGAAGTAAATTAATATTACAAGAAATTCATTTTATTCGGTGCGATTTTAAAGAATATCTATTAGGAAAAAGTTGCTTATGTAGGAATCATGAATAAAATAAAAACTGTAGTTTTGCTTCATATTTATTGACTATTTTTCACGTAGTTGTATAATATTGTATATTGTATTTATTTGTATATCACATGTATATTGTGTAAATATGCAGCGTGAATGTGTATCGGGTGTTGTGTTCTTGAATAATTAAGCACTATGATCCTCTCAGGATGTTGTGGCACAGGTTCACTAACACTTGGTAATAAGGGTTCTTCTCTTTGGTAACAATGATGGCATATTAGATAGCCAAAATAGTTAAATTAAAGGAAAAACAATCGCAAATAAACACACACAACAGGTAATCCGAAACGAGAATGCACTTTCCGGTATATTAAACTACTCTTTGGAATGCACGAATGCCACAGATTACTACGAATGCAATCTGCCTGCACCACAACCACAGAGTAACGAGTTTTATGCCGGCCATTCACTTGACAACAGTTTGTCCTTGTCATGCTTAATAAGGGTAGTTTTCCAATTACAGCACTGGAGCGAATTATGCGGCATAATGCTTATCGTTGAATATTTCAACTACAGCAACGCTTCGCACAATCGAGCACTCTCAAAAGTACCTTATGTTTTCTTGTGATGCGTGCAATCTACCAAGTCAGGGACAGAAAATTAACAAGTGTTTTTTCTTTAAGTTTTGTTGAAAATTTTTTAAAGCTTTCGTTTCATTGTAGCTTTTTTAAAATAATCAAAGTTAATTCAAACTGTGTTAAAAAAATAAATATAAGTATGGATGAAGGTACAAACATTGACTTAGCGCACTCTGCTGGTGCATTTGAAAACTAATTCACGTTCCAATTAAGCATCAGCATAATTCGGCTTTGTGCGCCACTGAGTCGCATTATGCTCTGTAATTGGAAAACTAAGCCAAGTGAAGTGCCGGCATTAGGAAGAAATAGTGTTCTGTTTGCAGCGCTGTCATAGATTATACACATAAAATGGTATTTATTGTCTCAGATTATTTTTTAACTTTTTAATTTAGCTTACTTAACTGGAAGTGTCCGTCACAATCTAAATACTGATAATTATCGCATAAAATATACTAAGAATTATCATAAATGCCAAATTGGTGTTGGTTCTTAGGCCAATTTTAACATTGTCCTTTAATGAAGAACACGAATAGATTTATAATTAGATAAATAGTGCTTAAGTGTAAAATAAAATTAACAGTAAACTAAAAATATATATAAATACTAGCTGACTCGGCGAACTTCGTACCGCCCAAAAGTAATAATTTGCAATAAATTAAAATTGCGAATATAATTTGAGATTTAAACTATCCTATCTCTCAAGTTGGATCGAACTGCACATGGTGTGCGAATTTTATTATAATCGGTTCAGTAGTTTAGGAGTCCATTGAGGACAAACATTGTGACACGAGATTTATATATATTAAGATATATGTGACCCAGTACCAAAGTATCAATTAATGTGTAAGATAGAGTCCACTTTAAGTTACATACCACTAGATAAACCTTCATTCTTTTACTCTATTATTTTGCCGCATCTCAAGAAATTAGGTTTAGGCGCTTCGTTTGCCCAATAACAACAGGAAGATTTTACCTACTTGGTATTTACCGGACGGAAACTAACTTAGTCTATGTTTTCTTTTGTTTCTAGGCCATTAGTAGGTAGGTACTTAAATTACTTACTGCAAAGAATTTAGTAGGGCATTAAACTTGACCTTAAGATAAAAATACCATACAAAATTATCATAAACATAGCTCGAAACGGTGTTAAAATTTTTGTGGCACAGTCCTCTTAGAAAATAATTAAATTCTCCCGTGTTGAACTGGTACCTTGTAAAAAAATCCTTAGACGCTTCATACCATGTTACCATTAAGATAAAACATCTTAATGGTAACATGGTATGAAGCGTCTAAAGATTTTTTAGGATTTGTTTTATGCATTTTGGATCCATATTTTATTCTGATTCGTGAATTATTACAGAGCATTGTTTATATAATAAGATAGCATATGTGTTCTCAGCATCGGGTAAATGCTCTAAGAGGTAGACATTTAGGTATGTACTGTGATAATTTTCTTTAAAATAGGCATAGTTGGGAATCAAATAATGTTTACGTTAATAACAAAAAACCAAGGATTCACCTGTAAAATTGAAAGTTATTATGTGATAAATAATATTCGTATCTCAAATATTTATCATCAAAACTGATTTTCTTTTGTTTTGCTTCTTTATCTAATACTGGTAATAGTATTATTTTAATAGATACGATAAAGTACGTAGGTAATTATTTAACAAGTATATATATTTTATCTTTTTGAAAGAAATGTTGGGCATAAGTTATATTTTTATCACATCTATTCGAAAAAATCAAGTTTGTACTCTGTTTACGGGGACCATAATATAGCGTTTTAAACCCTAGGGACTAAAAGTGATTTGAATTAGGAATATGGATATTGTTAGTTAAAATTCCAATCACCAAAGAGATCAATCACGAAGATCTTATAAACAAGGCACAGGGTGTATAATAACTAACCGCGCACTTGTTATAAAATAAATTGTGAAAAAATAAAGAAAAATGCGTGAAATATTTTCGGATTTTGTTTGGTTTAAAAAAAACTAGCTGACCCGGTGATCTTCGTAAGCTGCTTTAAAAAGTAATGGAAATGTTTACACGTTACGAACTTAGAGAAAAAATCTTCCGTTTTTATAATAAGAAATTATGTATGAGACTCTTTATCAATATTTAACAAAATATTGATAAATAAATATTATTTTATACTTTTAATTTGATTTTTCTTAGTTTTTATTTTTTGATCTTGATTGATAAGTGTTGGTACAAAAAAGTGTAACAAGTGTTTTTAAAGTGGCTGTAAAAATCATTAAAAAATATGTTACGTACATGACAGACACACATATGAAGCTAATAAAAGCATGCTAGAAATGGGCAGCATATGCACTGGATTTCTTATTTTAATAAGGATATCGCTTACAGTTCCCTCATATTTTTTCTTTGTAAGACTAAATCATCGAGCACAGATTAGATATATATTAGGCAGGCGTTAAAAAACTTGTACCTACCTAAGTAATTTCAGTAAACTTACTTAACCCTGGATTACTAACCTGCGTCGATTCGCCGACTCACATTTAAATATTAAGAAATATTATTGAATTATAAAAGATTGTTCGTTAAGTTCGTAACGTGTAAACATTTCTAGTACTCTTAAAGCCACAAACTCAGAGAGGCTAACTATCTCCTTCTTATGTCTCTTAGAAAGCCTCTCTGAGTTTGTTTCGCCGGTTCTTCTCAGAAAGGTCTCCGAATTTTGGAACCGGTGGTAGTTTACGGTAGTTAGGGTCAAATAAAAACTGAAAATTACAAAAAAGAATTTTGAATGAAATACTTTATTAACTAAATTAACCAATGAATTCATAAACCATAAAGTTTTAAAAATCATCCAATGAAATATCCGATCGCTCAATAAAAGTCTTTCAAAGGTAGCTCGACAAAGTGAATAAAAAATCATTATTCTGACGATGCAGACCTGAAAAGGCTGCGAAACTTCAATAAATAAATAAAGTTCGTGCATTAACCCGTTAAAACTAGTTTTATTTTATTCTTTTTTTGTTAAAAAAGGACGACTCCTTTACTCCGAAGCCTATATATTATGGGAAAAAACCGATACAAAAACAGGGGTGATTAATTGTTCACTCACTGATTGTAATTTATGACCACGCATAACTTTTTACAGAGTAGTCTGATTTTGATGATTCTTTTTAATGGATAGGGAAATACCTCTATGTGGTTCCCAGACAAATTTAGAAATAAAATCCTACCCTAAGGGTGTGAAAATAGGGGTGATTTTTCATTAAGAGATAATGATGCCGAGTTTTATATTACGAAAATTTTGGCCGGTTAATTTTTTGTTTAAAAATTTTTATTCAAATTTCTGCGGATGAAACCTAATAGATAATAGTAGGTATTATATAACCTGTTTCACTAGAAGACAATGACTTTTAATTTTTATATCGCCCAAATCCTGTTGTTGATTGCTTGGTATTTGAAGTTGTTTTATTCAAACAACTTCAGGTTTTTTCCATTGTTCGTAACGATAATGATGTCCTGTGAAAAGTTTTTCTATTGTTTTAATTACCTATATCACGTAGATACAATCACTTCATATCGAGGAGTTTCTATCTCCTTAGTATGTTCAGTACCTATACCTACGTTTTCGACGAGCGATCATGATTGATTTAGTATTGATATTATTACTGATTACTGATATTTATCAAATTAACTACTAATTAATCGTAATTTATGCACGGTCAAAAACCTAGAGCTGTGTCACTGGTCACGTACTATAACGTGACGACTCTTTATTACAAACATATTTTAATATTATAAATTCCATTTACAATACCAATAAATTTTATTTTTTGTTCTGCAAATTCAACAAGAGCTTGGTAGCATAATTGATGTGGGTAGAGCATTCGTCCGGCTTTGTTCAAATTTAGTCGGCATCTTTAAATATTGCACATTTACAAATTTTTAAGTTTCTTAAAATTTTGTCCTATAACTACTTATTTTATAATGATGTATGTATTCAAAGAATTTACTTATCACATTTTATTTTTGATTTGTCGAATAAAACATATAATGCACTTTTGGGGCAGTGAATTGTATAAAAAAAGTTAAGATTTATTTTAAAGTTAAATTTCGGAAAGTAAGATACCTGATACAAATAAGGCCTATGCTGAAATAAGGCCTGTAGTGCAGAAAAATCTATTAAAATATGTTTACATCAATAATACTTTACACACGCTTAAATGACATTTCTACAATTCGGCAAACTGTGCACTAGCGGTCCGCTCGAGCTAGCGTCAGTAGTGGCGGTACTTTGTGAAGGACGAGCTCTTCATAACGCGTTATTAATTTGTTGTAATCTCTAACGAATTTTAAGGATCCCATGGAAACACTTGATTGAAGAAATACATATTTTAATATAATTTATATTCTAATAACAATATTCCTTTAATTTAAGTACATAAGCTTTGTTAAGTCACTACGTTTCTAAAAAGCCAAGGCTAAGGTTCCAGAATTATCTCTTTTTAAGTGATTTCTGATAATAGATTGTACTATGTTTTTATTTATTTATTTATTTATTTATTTATTTATTTACTCTTTATTGTTTTGTTACAAATGGCGGACTTAATGCCACATGGCATTCTCTACCAGTCAACCATCAACCATGTTTTCTTAATTACTTAAAATTTATGAAACAAGGAATAATGCCTTGCTTTATCACCTTCTTCCAATAATTTATTATGATATGAGTGTTTGAAATTAGGCATCAATAACCTTATTTGTTAAAAAATAGTTTATGCCATAAAAATATAATGAAATATTCTCAGAACTTTTAGAGACTGTACTTTTATGAGACACCAAATTAAAGAGGTTTTGTGTTCTACTTTTACTTCTATTATTCTTTATCTGTTGACTTTTGCTCAGAGTAATTTTCTGAAAGTTTATTACTCATTTTTTCCCCAGTACCTACTTAAATCCTCTCTTTATCAGAATCCCTAGTGGGATAAATTTCGTTAAAGCAAAACGACCTGCTAGTGAAACGTCTGTAAAATCGTCATACTAGTAAAACGTCTGAAATTTATAACGGGCATGTTTGGCAAAAGGACTACCGGTGTTTTTATGTACATTCAAGTGCACAAAATAAAAAATCGCTATATTTTATGGGTGTATTGGGTAAGTAGAAATACTTCACATAACGATAATAGTACTCCAGATAAAAACTGCTTTGTTCTAAATATTACAGCATCGCTTTGGAAAATTCAATATCGACATTTTGCGAATGTGAATCCAAAAAATAAAGTATATAAAATAGAAGAAAATGAAATATCACTTTATTTATTAAAACATGTCATGTATAACGGGCATGTTTGGCAAAAGGACTACCGGTGTTTTTATGTACATTCAAGTGCACAAAATAAAAAATCGCTATATTTTATGGGTGTATTGGGTAAGTAGAAATACTTCACATAACGATAATAGTACTCCAGATAAAACTGCTTTGTTCTAAATATTACAGCATCGCTTTGGAAAATTCAATATCGACATTTTGTGAATGTGAATCCAAAAAATAAAGTATATAAAATAGTAGAAAATGAAATATCACTTTATTTATTAAAACGTGTCTCGCACTTGGAAACGCACAATTTTCGGGGACCATTAGTAACACCTGTGAAAAAATTAAATGATATAAATAACGCGGTTTAGTGTCACATACCTAGGAAAAAGATATTTTTTTTCATAATAATTAATAATAGGAACTAATATAAGGAAAAAAAGAACTACTTAAAATCAAAATAATTAACTTTTTTATCTTTGGTTTATTTAATTCTACGTCAGTGTACCAGTCTTTTTGCCCAACATGCCGTTTATATATTTCATACGTTCTACTAGTATGACGATTTTTCTAATTTCAGAGGTTTTACGTCTGAAATTCGTTTTACTTTTAAGTCAAATATCACACAACGTTATTTTACTAAATTGGCCTTCTGATACGGAGAGGCTGCGCCTAGTCACAATGTAAATTTTTTTTCGGGGACACTCCCGTACTTTTGTTCAGTCCGGTTTCTCGGTATCCTCGGTGGTTCGGGGGACTTTTTGTACGCGATACTTTTAATTCCTCGTGTGTGTTAGTCGATGCAGATGTAAGCGATCTATTTCGGAGGACTTAAAGGTCAGCGGACAAAAGTACCCAAATAAGAACTTGATCTTTAAAGATTTATATAAGACAATCTTCTTATATAAAAATCTCGTATCACATTTTTTGGTATCCAACTTCGCCCAAACGGCTTCACTAAATTTAATGATTTTTTGTGTATATTTGGTAGGTCTGAGAATAGACAGACCATAGACTAGTTTTTATTTGTCATTTTTTATGCTCATCAAAAAATACTCATAACCCTAAATTTTCACCCTTCTTCCACCCACCCCAATTTATAATAGCACTATTAGTATTTTTACTTTAATCCACAGATAGCGGAACAAAGGTCGTTGGGTCAGCTAGTGTTGTTTGTGTTAATTTAAAATATGTAAGCATGTTCAATCCCAAAGCGGTTAAGGTACACTAATTGCAAAATATTGGCACATTTTTATCAATTAGTATACCATACGTATAATAGGGATGATGACTAATTTTTTTTCTTCGTTTATCAGGTAGATTATCAAAAAGTATTGGACACGTATTTTTTCTTTTTTCACATAATATAAACATTGCAGAAGAAAGAAATAAAATCGTACTTACCCATCAAGAGGATTCAGCGCGATGGCTCTAGGCTCCTCCAATCTGTCCCTGATCAATATTTTCCTCATGTTGCCCTGCAGGTCTGACAGTTCTATGTGATTTTTGCCAGTGTCCGTCCAGTAGAGATGGTTGTAGATCCAGTCGACTGCCAAGCCATCGGAAGTTATCAGCTGTTCGCCGATGACGACTGTTCTCTGTGTACCTTCGTCGATAGGTGCTCTGAAAAAGAAATGTTAAAATTATAATCTCCAAATGAAGGCACTGCGATGATATTTCTGATACCTTAAGACTTTATGCTCTGTCTGATTGTAAGCTATTCACTACCATTGACGAGTATTACTCGCGAGTGACTTACCCGTATTCATCCTAACACAAACCTATTTGAGCCTGACTCATCTATGTGTCATCGTTGTAAGTATTGCCGTTATCCTAATATCTTAATAAAACGCAAGCAATTGGCGTGTGATAAAACAAAATAATTCAAAACTTACTTGTATATCTTTTCATCGGTAACATCGCTCCAGAAGATCATGCCTGTTCTGAACACGTAATCAAGCGCGGTTGCCGACTTGGTGTCGTTGACGATGGCCACCATTTCGTGGTGGTCTAAACTGATCTTCCTGATATCAAATCGTCTGGCAAAGAGCAGGGACGGGTGTCCTTCAGTAGCCTTGCACCTAGTTCGGTCTCTCGGGTCCCTGGCGTAGCCGGCGTGGCATTCGCACTTGAAGGTTCCCTTCTCGTTAATGCACATTTGTGAGCACGCCCCTGGATCGGCACATTCGTCCACGTCTGAAAATGTAATAAAACAATACGAGTTTATAATAATTTTAATTTAAGTATTTAACTGCTAGCTTTATAAATCTCCAGAAAATATTACTATAAAATATTCCACGCGCTCATCAGACGGGAAAAACAATTAGAATGAAAGAATGAGAACCAAGCATTTGTTGTAATCGTACTATCCTTGTGAAAGCGAAAGAGCACCAACAGAAAAAGTGCCCATTAGAACTACATACAATTTTTTCGTTATGTTGGTGTGAACATCACTTGTAAAAAGTATAGGTAGTTAGGTAAGTAACAACATTTGCTGTCGTTCAATAGGGCACAATAATCTAGGCAAAAAGTTCAGGAAAGTTTATCTCTTACAGATTATCGACCTTATTTAGTGAGTACCTACTCTTCGCCCTATAAATCAACTTTTTCTACGTTACACTCGCAGGTTGCTCGCAGATGTACGAACTCGAAACCTTATGTTACTCAAACTTTAGATAGTTGGAAGTTCGTACCTCTAACTTTATAGGAAGGGACGACATGGCTATAGATACCAACGGATCAGATTTCTCGTTGTTGTCGACACACAATTAAACAAAGTTTTCAGGACCTTATGTTACTTGGTTAACTTGTTATTTAATGTCCAAACAGCTAACATAGTACCTATCGAATACCATTAATACTACTCGACTTAACAATTGCATCAAAATTCATTGGTTCATAGAACAACCTTTGTTCTATTTATTACATCTGACGTTCTCATAGTAAAATTATGTTTCTTGCATCTAACTTCAGAGATTCGCAACGTAACTAGAACACGTAATGCACCGAGAAGTTGGAAGGAACTTTAATGTATAGCTGAATCAAATTACCTTCACACGTCCTGTTATCAACCAGTTTGTATCCTTTGTCGCAGTCGCAGTAATATCCGACGGGTGTGTCGACGCAGCGTTGTGTGCATCCGCCATTGTTTTTCGCGCACTCGTTTGCGCCGCACTTGTCGCGCGGCTCGTCCTCGAAGTTGGGACAGTCGGGCTTTTTGTCGCAAACTTTCGAGAGAGGGATACACATGGATCCGCCACAGTCGAACTCAGTTTTCTTGTCACAAACTGGCTTAGCGCGCGCTGGGGAACAATAAAATTGTCATTAAGCATCTGTACCTATTTACTTTACTCTCTCTGAACTAACGTATTTGTGAGGATACGAAAAAAAAATGTTAAGAAATCACTAGGAAAGAAGGCAAACTAAAATTGGGAATAGAAGGGGATCAAAATTCAAGTAAACCTTGGGAATATTGTACATAATATTATTGAAATTATCCTATAATTATAAACTAGGATTATGCAGTATTTTATTATCTAATCATGTATCTAATGAATCTGTAATGCCAACTTCACCCAATATATTGAGCAATTTAATAATACCTGATACCTACAGAATTTGCCGTCTATTATGTTAGTATAAATAAAGCTTAGCTGGATTGATTTAATCCCATAATCACTTGAATCCATGAGGCGTTTGCTGATAATTGGATTTACATACTATAACACCTAATCTCACACATCGCAATAAATACAAGTTGACATTGATTTAGATAGTACTTACATAATACTATAATCCATTCACTTTATATAACAAATAGTTTACTTTTTTCATTTTTGAAAGAGCAAATCACATTTATTTTTAGATCTTAGAAGTCTTAAATATAAATACTTTAGCATTAGAAGCTATTCTTGATGAACTTATTTCTTTTCTATAAGCTTTTTTATTTTCAATCAAGGCCATACTTATTAATATACCTTTTGAAATTCGCCTTTTGAAAAACTCCTTAGAAACGCAATGGAAACATTTCAAGGGGAAGCTCAACTCACGCCCACATCGTGTCAGATCGCGCAAAGAAAGATTCGATTCCAATCGTCGAATATGTGAGGATGAGCAGTCCTCTTTGGTGGAAGATGTGGTGATAGGTAAGTGCCAAACAAACACATCCACCGAGCGACTGCTTGTATAAACGACAAAGCCGCTGCATATGTAACGCAAAGCTAACATCTCTCTCTGATAGCTGAGTGACAATGGCTTCGGATACATCTAATTCGTTATCGGTCGAACTATGCTCGGGCCTCATCGGCCAAACACGTCCGATCAAATCAAACGTATGTGAAAATGAGAAAGAGACATTACTATAACTGCCATCGGCGGATGGCGCCCGCCCGAATTCATACAAACATTATTTGATTCAATCGGCCGATGCTTCGGTAAATCCGAAGCGGAAACCGCCTGGCATTGAATGGTCTCAAGTATAAAAAGTTAAGACACATAGACTACGCTGATCCCTATAAAATTATACAAGTTTACTTACTGCAGTTGAATTCATCGCTGCCGTCAGGGCAATCCTTATCTCCGTTACAGTACAGGGCGCCAGGAATGCAGCTGTGATCTTTGCATTGGAATTGGTCGAGTCTGCAGGTAACGTTCCCGCGACAGATCCCTGGAGCCTCGTCTCCTCCGTCTGGGCAATCCTTATCTCCGTCGCACACCCAAGCTTTATGGACGCAGGTCATACGGTCTTTACATTCGAATTCTGTTGATATGCACGGCGATGTCACTTTCGGTGTCGTGGCGCATCCCTGAAAAAAAAACGGTTTCATGTATGATATTAGCTGAACATATGTATACATTAAATTAAAGAGGGCTCGAAGACGCAAATGGTTAACGCATTCGTTTTGCAATCCTGGAAGTACCTAACGCAACTATCGCAATGGCCGGTTAGAGGATGCGTGACCAAAAATATATCTCGAGGTTCTCCGTGTTTCGGATTGCAAGTTAAGCTGTTGGTCTCGGCTGCATCTGCAGTCTTAAGGGCGAGCACTGGACCCACGTCCAGGGTGAGTGAGGTGAGATCATAGCCCAATCGCCTAGGCCTGTGCCTCTGCATTTATGATTTAATAAATTGAAAGTATTTATTTAACACATTACGACGTTTACAGTTGGCAAGAAAAAAATAATGGAAACAAATATTGCTTTGGCAGCAAAATTTACTGGTGTTGGTGTTAGGGACACTCTTCTAAAAATAATATTGGGGAAATGTAGCCTTACTAAAAAACCACAATTCCTTCAAATTTTGTTCAAACCATCGGCATCGGGTCGACTGAATAAATATCTTCCTGTGTGCCAGTTGTCCCCGTAGGGTGTTTTCGTATGTGAAGGGGACGGGATAATTTAATAAAATTATCACTAACATTTTTCATAAAAAATATTATCAGAAACGAATTTGACTAAATTTTCAAAGGTATCCAAACAATGTTTTACCAGTGTCGAAGATACTGATACTACAATGCTTACAGCGGATATTATTTCCTAATAAACTAACTTTTCTTTGATAAAATAAGGTTAACCACAAAATTAGAGTATTATTTAATGGAGTCGGTTTCCATTAATCGATGTCAGTGTTTCAAGTGCACAATGCTGAATAATGAAGAAAGAAAATAACATTATATTAAAACGAAATAAAAAAGAGAATCTCACGCCACCAAGCTGACATGCAGTGTCCATCCGCAAAAGATAAATGTGTGCGGTTGGCAGGTAGGCTCGGGACATTTGGCTTTTACGCTGACATCACCGTCATACACTAATTTCTACTACATGTCATTAACGATTTAAACAGGGCGTACCATTTCATCGCTAGCATCAGGGCAGTCGATGTCTCCGTCGCAACGCCACCATGCCGATATGCAGTGTCCATCCGCACAAGAGAAGTGTGTGTGCGGTTGGCAGGTAGGCGCGGGACATTTGGCCTCGTCGCTGTCGTCACCGCAGTCGTCATCGCCATCGCATACCCATCTCTGCTGTATACATTTGCCGTTGCCACAGGTAAATTCGTCCGAGCGACAGGTCTCATCTAATACAATGATGAAGCGTGTTAATTTCTCCCTCAAATACATAAAAACATAAAACTTTCGAGTGCCAATATTAAATTGTTCAGATACAAATTTAAAGAGTTTGTGATTGGTGTTGAAAGATATGAAAAGATTTGTTTACGGTCGTACTTAGAGATTGCCATTAAATTAGTTTTTTTTTATTGCAAAGAAACTGAAAACATCAACTTTAAACAAATTTAACAGTCAATTGAATTGTCTCAGTACGACCGTTGCCTATAGCTTCAAAAAACGTTATTCACGAAGGAGAAATTGCAATAATTTTAGCAATATATTTGACTAGCTGTGCCGCTGTGTTTATTAGGGATATTTTCCCGCAGTAAAACGTAGCCTATATGTTAAGTAAGCGGTGTCAGCTAACTCCATACCAAATTTTATTTAAATCGCTCCGGCCGTTTAGACGTGAAGAAGTATCAAACATTCACACTCACAAACTTTCGCCATTACAATATTAGTGTGATTACTTTTTCTAATGTTTATCTAAACTAAGTATGTACTTACGACGTAAAGAAAACAAAATATTGTAATCACAAAGAGCACACAAGTTTAAAATTCCAATTACTTTATTATATGAAGTCCGTGGACATTGTGAGAGAGATTTTTAAATATATTCTTACACCAACACGAGATAATTGTGAAGCTGTAGGAAAAACTGCTGCAAGATATTTCATTAATTCATTTAGTAGCACAGCTACTTGTCTTTCTTTTCTCTAGAAAAAATATTATCACTCGTCTCTAGCGGCGTTTCTACTGAGCTTAATTAAATTCCTTATAAAAAGGAAACACTAATATTCGACGTACATGATACTAGTCATTTTAGCAATGTAAAGTATGAGATGATGTATAATCAAACAATGACAATCAGGCTAATTTAAAAATACGTTAACAAACTGGAAGATATTCTTTTAATAATACCAGATCTAATTATTGGCATGTTAACCAAAATTCTCATTTTGAAGATTATTTATTGACTGCGAGTAATGATATTAGCGATGACATAATCGTGGTGAGGCTTTCGGGTGTTAAGAAAGGCTCGGGTGGTGGAAAGTACACGCAACGTCACGCCGCCGCAGGGCGGGTTCGACCGGTGCGGGCAGATAAGAATTTATAGACGGATGAGCCCGGCGTTGATAGAATACAGAGTGTTTGGCTGGGAAGGGAACCCAATGATTGATTGATACCGCTGACACCGGAGAGGAATAGTTAAACATCGACTCCACCCAAGGACCTAACAAAGAATACATTAATTTTTCACACTCTGGACACCTTTGATAAGAAAATGGAATTTCTACTTAATTTAAATTGTATCTAAACTCGTTTTCTAGATTGATTCGCTTTTTTTATAAATTTGTAGCTCTTTGTGATTAATATCATTCACACTATTATAAAACAAATGATAAATATCCAGGTCAGCATCATGCAATTTTCATTAATTTGTAACATAGTTCAAATAGCGATTACTCAATTAGATAAAACTTATAAATGACAAGGCAATGAACTGAGCATTTTGAGTGCATTCCTCTTTTAAGTGGGTCATTGAAGTGATGTGATAAAATGCTAGGAAGGAGCGTCATTGCAGATGATGACCCACATTGATGATGATGACGATAGGGAAAACAAGTCATTTATACAAATACCAACGCATCTCATTATCTCTCGATCATTTTGTAAAATACTGCGTCGATATTTCATCAAAAAATGGTTTGTTTTTCAATCTTTTAAGATTTTGAGAAAAATAGAGTAAGAGAGAGGTATTACTGTTTTTACCTCCTCGTGGCTACTGTTTTTTTAACTTCCAGTGAATACGGCTAAATATTATAAAACCCTTACTGCATGCTTTCTCATCAGATCCATCCGAGCAGTCCGGGTTGTCGTCGCACATCCAAGTGAGCGGCACGCATTCTCCGCGTTTCCCCCGACAGGTGAACTCTTCTGGACCGCAGGCCTCCACTTCTGTCAACCCAATTCATGCTCATGCTAAATACGATGCAAATTATGCACGTGGAATATACATACAATTAAGTTGGGATGAACTTTGTTTTCCGTTCGTCGATTAAATCAAACAGACCGCGAAACAAGACCTGTAAATCTTTTGTAGAGTAAAAATTTATTTGACACACTATAGTAATGGAAAACGAAATGGGCACTTAAATTAAAGACAAAATAATACCTACTGAACACCGTACTTAATTTAAATGAAAAATGACTTTATCCTCTGCCAACGTGAGGAAAGAAGCATTCGCATTTCGTAATTCCGCAATTTCTAAAGTAACACCTGGTTGTCCCTTCATGCGTTCAGCTGATTAACATAACTGTCTTCGTCTTTTCAGACATGCCAATTGTACCATGCTATCCATTTTTGCCTGGGCTCTTACCACATTGGTGTTCATCAGAGCCGTCTGGACAGTCTGCTGCATAGTCGCATTGCCACGATGCTGGTATACAGTGACCAGTGGCACAGACAAATTTATGTTCCGGGCACTTGCGTTGCGTTGCTGTGTATAAAAACTTTGCTGATATCGTTTTATTTATTTAAAAGCATGCCTTAAATCTATTTTATCTTAATAGATGTCACATAAAATTTCAATGGTTTGGTTTTGTATATATCTTCTGTTTTGTTTAAACCATGAAAATAGATTAGAGCAACTTGGATGCTTGTTAATTTACCTAAATATTCAAACATTGATTATGTCTTATCGTGAAACCAAGTAGTCGTAATTATATAATCGCTCCTATTTTGATATGAATAATAATACCTATCTGCTTTAATCGTCTACTGTGAACCGATCTCAATTACAAGATTTGGGTCATCGTATTTAGGTAATTGTAACATTATAAGTAAACAATGTTCATTATGTCTTTAGTTGATTATAACTATAAATACAAGTTTTATGATTTCAAAACGATTCATGCCTTTTCTTCTCAAAGTATAGATAACACACAATATTATGTAGGTTACCTAAAACTGGATTCTACAATTTGTTTAAGCCTTAATGTGTGTAATTTATAACTTCAGAAGTTATCTTAAGTAATTTAATTATTAAAGTTACTCATTTTTTGCCTGCTCTGCCTGCTTTTGACTTAAATAGTAATATCATTGCAATATTAACCAAAGAAAACACACACAGAAACTAAAATATAATTAAATGAACCAATGGTCTAATAAATCGTACATTTAACTCAGAATAGCGACTTCACCCACAATCGTTTATTAATAATGTTTTCAGGATCGCAGTGCAGAACAATTAAGCTTTTAAAGATCGAACTCAACCCCCCGTTGATTTACTTAAATCGTATCTTTAATGACTTTTTAAATATTAAACGGATCTAATTAGTCCCTAGGAGGGATTAAAATGGCTATACTCAGTAGCACTCTACTCGAGGCACCTCAAGCTGACAGCACAAACTCATTTAGAATGCTCAGTGAATACGACTGTGAAATAATGAATGCTAATGCTAAACGCGGGCGAAGCTAAATCGTTATTAATGGTACTTGGCAGTACTTATAACTGTCCAATATTGTTTTGTGGCGTTGGTTGTAACAAATTCAATAAACCTCAATTATGAGACCTCGCGACTCCCGGCGAAACTTTTAGTGAACTATCTTAGTAAGTTAGCCTTTGTGTTCGGATACAGAAGTTTCACCTGTTATCTATCTTTTAGTAATGCTATGTTTGATTCTCCTGAAGAGATTTTAAGAATGCCAGAATAGGCAATTGTAACTTGTATGATATTATCTGTATTAGAATTACAGTCTCAAACGGTAACTAATAAGATTCAAAAACAATCAAATGATTTTTTTTATTTTTTTTTTGTTATTTTTTTATTAATACATATCTCGATTTTACTTTGGACTTGAAATATAAAACTGAAAATAAAACACCAGGTACTTAACTGATCGCTTGACTCGTTTTAAGCAAATAACCATCCGACCTTACGCTTCTTAAAGAACTTTTTAAGAAACTTTAGAGAACTCCAAAATAATTTATTCGACTTTAATGTTGTTGACTTATATAGCACTAAATCTCTTAATCTCGAGAAAACTTTTAATATTTATGTCCATAGAAGATGATCAACCGAACTGCAAACTCAATTTTGTATCTCCGAATTAGGTATCTTGTGATCATGCGTTTTGAGTTATATCATCGTATGAATTTCCAAAATGATTTATAGTCTATTTATGATCACGTACATGCGACTATGGACAAAAAATTATAAAAAAGGGGGATCCCGTAATTTCACGGGCCACTTATATTGCAAAGTAGTAAGCCGATAATAATCACAATTTATTGGCAACCTTTCTGTGAAATACAACACTAGGTATAGAGCGACAGGGCAAACTACGATATGAAGTTTTCCATATTTTAGTAATTTAGATTTATGAAATAATATTAATACTTATAATGAAAGTAGCTCATAGAAAATAGAGTATTTGAGATAATATCTGAAAGTTGGCGCTTAGTTTCTATTCTGTTATTCAGTGCTTAAGTTGAGAATTTAATTAAACAATGTTCTGGACTATGGAACATATTAAGTTTAGATTGGTAAATCCGAGGAGCCTTATTTAAATGTGGCATGTTCCATCGATCTGAATCAACCCGTATTTCTTGCAGAGCATAATTTACCGGTTCACTCGTCCTGAACAGATCGTATTATTATCCCTTAGGAAGGTACCTATCCTCCCCGTCATGAGCCCTCACGTCATGTGTGAACAGTAAATAAATTAGATCGCAGTCAAATCCCATGGTGTTTCAGTATCATGATTGCCTCCAATATTAACGCGTTAGGTGGTGTCAGGTTTTTTTTGTGTCCTTGTTTAAGGTCAGAAAACCCTAGGCAATGAAAACGGGGTTGTTAAACTTCTATGTAATAATTTTATACTATGATATGAACTGTTATTATAATATTTTGCATACTTTCGTATTTTAAAACTAAATATTACATTTTCTATTTATAAAGTAACAAGGAGAGATATTAAATTTCTTGGAATTGAAACCAATGAGCAACTTAGCCGGTTTCTGAAACAGAAGTGATCGGTTTCAATATTCGCAAATATACACAAATATACACTGGTGTCGATTCTGGCGTGATTCTCTAAACTTAAAACTAAATTTAACATCAGTCTCACCTTTTCATTCTGTATAGAGAAGGACAAGGATGCACTGTTGTCAAATTTAAGTTTAGCTTTAGAGAATCATGCCAATATCGACATCAATATTTTGATAGTTTCGCCGTGGTTTTATCAAAACTGCATAAACTTATAATTTGTCAAAAATATCTATGAAACCTACACTAGGATAGTGATGGGGCATGAAAAATTTGATGCAGCAGATGCCTGCATAGGCAAAAGTTACATAAGCTTTGCTCGAAGTCTTTGGAAATAAACAATATTTGTGATAAACTTTTATTCCATTACATAGCTTTAAAATATTCTTCGATCGATGTATAGGTATAAGTATTTATTATAAATACATTATAGCAAAATTTACTTTACGTTCATCACCGTAATTAAAATATAAAATTACAAGATAACTATAATAATTGATTAATAGTTACATAATTGAACATTTTGTTTTCTTAGATAAATATAAGAACTGAGGAAAATGATAATATCTGATAATATTCTGACATTTCTAAAATTTATAGTTTTTAACCGATTGACAGCCGAGACCAATAATTATCAGAAATTAACAATAGTGACTTAACAAAACTTTTATTGGATAACCTTTTAAAGCAGAGTCAATAAAATTCGGAGAGATATTGAAACACTTTTTTGCAACTAAGTTATGTGCAAAAAGAACAGGAGGTCTACTCTATTTCAATGAAAAACGAAATTTCGATCATTTCGACTGTTTATTTTTCATTTCGAAATTTCGTAAGTCCGGAAATAGTTTGACAATTAAATTCTCCAAGCCTACTCTAATTCACGAAACTTCCGAACGAAAAGTTGAAATTGACAGATAATTGTTCGAAATTTTAACCTCGAATTGGCGAAATGAAAAGTTATTAAATTAAACCTTAACTGACTGCTAGAGTATTTGTAATCAAGCCTGCTTAGCGTGAGGATCGTTTTTTAGTGTGTAAAATTAACAAGTAAACCATTTTTTTAAATTATTGTATTTCCAATACTTCAAAGTATTAAACGACATATTTAGGTTGACATACAATCGATTGCATCAGCTCCACAAATTAGTCGGCTGACACTGTCAAAGAAGGTGATGAAGATGAAAATTTTGTCGTAAAGTAAGATTGTTTCGAAGTAAAGAACCGAAATCTTAAAGGTGGAGATAAAAAAAACTCACAAACATGATTAATTCTATTCGTTGACGAAAATTGTTTGTGATTACGAACTTTATGTGCGTGTTCGAAAATGAAATAGAGTAGAGTCACTGGCGGAATTTCGTTTAAAATTCGTTCGTTACCGAAATTTCGTTTCAGAGAAAGAGAGTAGAGCCAGGTATGTAAAATTTTCTTGGAGTTTGCTCGTAAAAACCACGTGATTTTAGTTAATTGTTTTGTAAATTACTTTAATCTGTTCGCCTGCAACTCATTCAATCTTACATTACTAGTTAGACTGAATCGAGAACAACCTGTTTGTTAGAAAATGTTACAGTTTTTACTTGTTTGGGATTCATGTCCTCAACTAAATGAATACCTAAGTGTATTGTTTGAATAAATATTATAACTTTAAATCTCTATCTTTTCAATGTAATTGCTATCATTTTTGTGAGTTTTTCCTTAATGTTTTTAGATGCTTGTTTATGAAAAAATACTTCATATTATACTTTCATGCTTTAAATAAGATATTTGTAAAACAGAACCATTACTTTAACTTGGATATGCTAACATTCGTTTGGTGTTATATATTTTCGTCCGAATTAGAGTGCGTTTCTCATATATTTCTCAGGGATAACCCTCGTTCGGATTATAGGATCGTATGGTTTTCATGGCCTCCAATCTGGCTTTGTCACTTGGCGACCTTGTTTTTTCATTGTTCTGTATCTAAACAGAGGCGGAGAGCAAAGGCCGAGAGTAAATTTGCTGAAGTAATACTGTTTGCTTATTTTCGTTACACAAAGTATCCTAACTTGTTGTCTACTGTTTTCGCGTCAGTCATTGGCCCTATGTTAATTGGGCGCTTTTTTCATAATGTTTATTTATTTATAAATTTCTCATTATACGCGCGAGCGTTCCATTGGGTCTAGTTAACTAGGCTAATACTAGTTTAACTTAATCTTTCTGCTCTTTACGTGCTGTAGACTTACTGCAAGTGCCTGGTTCTTCATCTGAGCCATCTGAACAGTCCTTCTCGTTGTCACACCGCCATGATATTGGGATGCATCGTCCGGTTTTGCAGCGGAATTCTGCCGATGTACAGGTACGGCTTTCTGCAAAAAAGAAAACGTATTATTACGTTTTAATCTTATGATATTAGAACACGGAATTATAAGGTTAGGAAATATGTTTTCTGTTCACGATGATATATTATTAATATCATTGTTCATACATAAATTACTACCGTTTCAACTTACTGACTTTTTTATCAATCCAAACTCAACTGAATAGATTTTATTTCATTGATAAAGTTAATGATGAATTAAATTAGTCAAATAATTAAAGAAATCCGATCAATAAATTAACAATGTAAGCCAATTTAATAAAGTGGAAGAATAGTGTTGTATTGTTATAGGTTTAATTCATATGACATACCGCTTGAAAGTTTCAAATAAAATTTAAAGAAGCACTGACAGTTTTATTAAATGCAAAGGAGATTGCTCAAATTGGCCCAAATGCACAAAAAATTTTGACATACACGGTAATTCTTGGCGTAATTTATAATTTAATTTACAGTCATTACATTTTAACGGACACCTTTGTATAACATATTTACTTTAAAAAGGACTTTTAATTTTAGCGGTTTGGAAAACATACGAATCATTTTTAATGGCTATGGGTGTAGTAACATTCAGCCAAAGACTGATCGGAGTTGTTTATATAACATAAAAACCTCGGATAAAAACAAATCTATTTTGTAAAGATGCATAAAATAAATCATTTTTTTTTATTACACTGTGGTATTAATATCCACAACTATATTATCATTTTCACTACATGCAAATGTGCTCAGACAATTATTATACATGGTAGGCGACATCATAAAGTCTATTGCCATACATTTTTCGCCAAACACCTCCATAAACACATTATAATCTATATATATGTTAGACTTTAAGGTATCTATCTATGGGCCTACGTTGCCTGACTATAAATTAATAAATAAATAAAATTATAAGGTGTGATACACTAAAAATCTAAAATATGGTTATCTTAAAAACAACAAAAATAATGAAGCTACTGAATATATGGCTATAGAACCTAAATCTCTTAGCTTTCTTTAGTTAACGAGAGTTTAAAAAATCTCTCTAATCTGTGGCTCATTCACAATCATCACCCAGTTTCTGTCACAGAGTACCTTATTATAACCGGAAATGCATAGATGACAACTGATTTTAAAAGTTACTGTTATGCATTAACTTTAAAAACAGCCAACTATCTGTTAATCTACATGCTCTATATACCTGAATCTAATCCATGATTTCGGTACTTGGCTTGATTTCCCTAGTTTACTATATAACTCATTTGTTTTTTATTATTTTAATATGTTCAGTTTACATGGTTTATAGAAGTTCGGAGTGGGTGTCCGTCAATAATATTCGTTTCTACAGTAATTTATATATGTATAATTTCGAATCTAGAAAACAATTTTTCATGATTATTGGTCTTTAGGCCAAACATGTATGGAAGCTGAGCAATCTCCTTTGGAGTACAATTTGTACGTAATTAAACATTAGGAATAGTGATAGTAGTGATACTATCAGTGTATTATTTTTCATTTCGTTAACTCCAATTAGTAAGAGTGAAGCCAACTCATCGCTTCTCGCCGTAAAGGGGAAGCAGTAAACAGGATCCATTAACTTACGCTCGAAATCAACGTTCAACATGCGTATAAAACAGGGTTGAAGAAAATTATCGGTGAATAGGTGCAGCCGCTTTATCTTGAGGTGGTTGAGAGGCGGGCACGTGCCAGGGAGCAATTTGTAAACAAAACGCACCCGCGCCGAATAATATCACCCTACGTGGCGGTACACTCAGCGGCTGCGTAGCGATAAATTCAAGAGCACCACCAGAGATTGCTCTCTATTTCCCGTAACGCGGTGGCTCAATAAAAGAAAAGGCTCGCTTACAAATTCGCGTGTAGTCACTGCCTATTTGTTGCTCATAATTGGCTTAGATACGCGCCGTTCGCTGTAATTTTACTCGACGGAGCTCGCAGCGCTCCTTGATAATGGTCTGCAATTTAGAATTGGGCTATTCTTCGAAGAAGGATTCTGATGTAAAAAGTGGAAATTAGAGTGGGCTACCCAATATTCAATATCAAGTGCGATTAAAAGGAACTACTTAAAATTTTCCTATCGTCGACCCTCGTTTACTTTGGGATATCGGGGTAGTAGGGTAGCTAGCTAATACAGCGATGGTACAATAATAGCGAATAGTGTAAAAGGTATTCCTTGGAGAGGCGGGCGAGGCCATTTGCTCGAGTGAAACGCTCCGCCGTGTAACACCCACATTATTGCCTCCTCTGCTCTGGAATGTTAATGCGAACTTCTCGGCGAAGCCAGCTTCAATCCTTGTTTGAAGTCAGCGATTATCACGCTAACTTTCTCATTAATGTTTTACGTGAGCTTTCTCTTATAGTCTATTTTATGCAGTTTTAGTGCAGCTATCCGGGAATCTTCGTAATATTAAAGTTTTATAGAGACTCTGACTCAAACGAAATTTTAGGGTTACTTTGTATTAATTGAGTGAATATAGGAAATTATAAATTTTTAAATTACTTAAATAGAACAAGACACCTCACTATCGACAATATAAACAAAACAATCAGCAAATTTAACAAATACCTACATTTTGACTCAGCATTTCGGGGTTACTGGGCAATACCTATTGCATTTGAATTACTTGTTCGTTTAAGTCTGTAAATCATAGCAGTATATTTATTTTGCAGATTATTCCCATTATGAAAGCATCGGATAATTACATATATTACGATAAATTGTTAGATGATATCATATGAAATATTGCCATGTAACCTGACATTAAAAAAAAAATACATACACTTCTTTCAATTCGCTGCTATTGCAGTCCAAAACATGAAATCCTGTAATAATTATTTTATCTCTATGTATCAATATACTATTTAGTACACTTATTATATATAACGAATAGTATTTAACCGTCCATTGTTACAAGAGTATAAGAAATATACAAATACCATGAATAGAATTTGATATCTGTTTCTAGTTGATCACATAGTCATTCAGTCTACTGTCACATGGACACAATGAACACCTTCGGAACCACGACCAATGGCAACATATCCGATTTAATTAACCGTAGAACTGATGAATAATCTCTTTGTTACTGCGTATGCTTTCCACCTAGTATTCTTATACCTACTCATTTCAGCAACAAGAATTGTATTAACCTTAGGTATTATTTTAACAATTAGGTAAAGTTATTAATTTAAAATATGAATGAATAAAGTAATTTCAGGATTTATCTAAAAAAATATATTATTAACTGCTTAACTGGAAGTTAGCTCACGTTGGCAAAGAATAACATTGTTTGTACCACGCAACATGCATAATATTTCTATTCTTTCATTTTGCCAGATTCAGTAGAAATACTGAAAATCGAGAGATATTTTAAACAATGCTCTTCGAACGCGAGTTGGAAGCATTAGACAAAATTGTTCCCAAGATGGCAATGCCGCCAGCTGGAAATTGTATTACCGCTCTGCACTTAGGCTGAAGATGAGTGCATTCGTTACGGACGCAACTTGAAGCTTTTTAGTCATAGACCAGCAAGCAATCCAAGTGAAATACCTCACGGCACGTACAAGTCTCCGTATATACAGTAATGATTCTCAAAAATAGGAGTCGATCAAAATTTTCACGACCAAAGTTGTGTAAACTTTCGTGCCAACAGCACCTTCTAAACAAATATTACTCAGCTAACCGTAGATTAGCACAATCAACTTCGTGTATGAAGACGAGTACTCGTAGCGTTCAACTTTATAGATCTCATTTCTTTCTTCGTATTTAAGTTTATACTTTCGTGTGTTATTAGATGAATACATTAGTATATTGTGTAAGTAGTAGTATTATGTAGCATTAACTTCAAAAAAGGTTTACAAGAGCCTTTTCAATGTGTTTCTTCATATCCTTTTGGACACAATGGTTAAATTCTTTAATTAACATTTTCTTTGCGATTGTCACCAAAAAAGTCTTTACTGTCATCGTGGGAATACTAGGATCGTTATGCAAATCCAAAGCTTTATTATCGTGAATATATTTACTGGGCCAAATAATCTTTAGGTAGTTGCATTTTCAGAAAAGTCTTATTTCGCTACTTTCGTAACACAAAACGATGATCTTATTGAAGCCGTTTTGAATGAAAAGAAAATCATAAAAAATTACCTGATGTTTTATAGTCGTACGCCTTAGTGTAGGTGTCGTAATCGTCGTCGTAAAGTGACGCCTCCGCGTTCACTAGGACGCAAAGACATATTGCGAAACAGTACGCGAAAGACGTCATTCTGATTAATTCTCCTTTCTCCTCAGGTTGTTACTAATCACGCTGATTGAGGACGCACACCGCAACGTGTACATCAGCGCTTCTTCAACTGGAGAGGTAAATTTAAATGTAACATTAACGAGTGACTTCGAATTACCAACTTATGTACTGACGACGGTAGCTTCACGGTCCTTAACTTTGTTTTCGTTATCGCACGTAACATAATATTTATTCTCCCTACTCTGAATTTAATATGGTAAAACGGTTAATAATATGAAGCTTATTAATAAGCAATATTCTTAAGTTACGTATTAATTAGAAAATAGTCCAAATGACAGGTCAAAATAAATTTTCTCAGTAATATTATATTACAATACAATGCCAACGCTAACATTTTTTTCTGTCTCATAGTTTAGGTCAACTTGTATTTTAGGAGTCAGATCCTTCCCTTTACGGGATTATACTTAAAGGATTATTTTATACCTATAAGGTAAAGGTGATATATCTTCTTTATACCATGTTCTGAGGTATGCTAACAATGGTCTTATATTATAGTTTTCTAAGTAATTGAGGAATTCATTGACAAACGTGTATCCAAGCCATTATGAAATGTCACAGATTTCAACAATTTTTTTACCCTAAAATCATAAGCTACCTAAAAAGAGTTAAAAGGTAACCAAAAAAACTGAACTAGTTAGGTACTTGTTTAATCGAGTTGACTAGTAAACTTTTATCGGTAATCTCGTCTGAGATTAAATAAATAAAATAATTGCTTGCTTTGCTTTTTTATCTGATAATTAAATTTTCAACTTCAATGAATCTCAGATTACCGAAGTAAAAAACTTTTATATATTTTTACTTTTTTACTGAGATAAGCCTGAATCTTTCATCTCTGAAAATCGTTAGATAAAAGTATTTATTTTATTTAAATTTGTATTAAAAACTTGTAAAAAATATTAAAAAAAATTGATAACGCGACTGTCAGGGAAATAGCCGTCCTATATATAGGACAGTAGGATAATAAGTAGGCAATAGAGAAAAATTAAAGATTTAATTTTGCATTTATATCAATTATAATATGTTGGGTGTGTAGGGTTGATCTTCTCTGTCTGGCGGCTCAGAAGAATGAAAATGTTTGCACCACGATCTAATAATCCTTACACCCATCTTACACCTCAGATCACAGTTGTTTCGTTGTGACACCTTGTAACGGCTCAATCTACGGAACATATCTAAGATGCAGGCCTTGAATCTATAACAAATTATCTTTCATAAGATGTTTGCTTGCAACGTGGTCGTTTACTGCAGATCTCATAAGAACGCTCAGGGTCACACAACGAGCAATGGAGAGAGTGCATTACACCCTACGAATCAGAAATGAGGAAATCGGTAGGAGAACTAAAATAACCTCTTTTGCTCTGCTGATGTGGCAATAGGCGGGTACGTTGCGAGGAGAACCGATGGCCGTTGGGACGGAAAGGTTCTCGAACGGCGAACACGCACCGATGCTTAGTGGGCAGCCCCACCAGGTAGACTAACAATCTAGTGAAGGTCGAAGGAAGCCGATGGATGCGAGTGGCGAAGGACCTATGTGGAGATCCTCGGGGGAAGCCAATGCTCAGCGATTGGCGTCGTACTGTGGACTTACATGATGATGATGACCATCAGAGAAATTACGCTCATTTATGACGTTGTCAAACCATGCAATGGGACGTTTGTCTTAAAAAGTATTATGAATTTCAGGCTAATCGTAAGACCTTTGGATACTTTATCTGTAGATACCTCGATTTGTAGAAGGTCTTTCTTCAGTATTTTGATGGGGTCTTGAAGGTGAAAATGGAGGATAATATGTTTCATTGCAAAGTATTCAGAATATCATTATCCTCTCATAGTACTTCTTCGTCAGCAGTAACGTCAGAAGCAACTCGAGTTCGAAGAATGTATTCTTCGCTATAAAGAGAAGATCCGCATCATAAATACACGGTGATATACATTATCATGTTCGTAATAATTATAGATGTTTTCAAAAATTATATGTGCTGCTTATCTGTAATAACCATTTGCCCCTCATTAGCCTACTGTCCTAAATGTAGAACGGCATTAGTTTTATGTAGTTTTGTATACATTTATCACAAAATTTGTACATCCCAGATATATCTTAAAAAAATTAGGTTATTTACCTTATAAAAAAATTATTATAAATGCAATAAAAAATTAACAATACTTTTTATATATGCCTTTTCATGTTGATGTCTACTATTGACAATGACTATACATTTTACAATTATATACTTAATAGATAAACAAAATAACTCGAATTTTATATTTTTAATACAGTGCCTCAAAGTATCCTTTAAAATATTTATTACATTTCCATGGGCCACTTCCACATATCACTTTCCACTTATCTGGGTATTTAGATGTATATTTTTAATTGTACCGTCCTAAACATATGTAACATGTAACTGCTAGACGTTTAAATTTAAAGAAAATTTTACAATAGAAATTCCACGCGGACCAGGCAGCAGACGGGACTCGAACCCGCACCCTTCGCTATCCGGGTGAATGCACTCACCATAATGCTACTGCGGCACTGATGACCGTGTCGGATTTTCTCTAGCCCTTCTTAAGCTGCAAGGCAGCGCCATCTCTCCACATTGTAGGTAACCCACAATGTTAAATAAATACTTTCACAAGTATTAAACATTTGAAAGAAGAAATAGCAATTACTTAAAGTTATATTTTTTAAACACAAAACTGAAACAAATATTTTTCTAGAATTTCAGAAGACCTGCAAACAATCTGTTGCTCTGCATTTTTTTTCAAGCTTTCTTTATAATTTTCGATGTATTCCAACGAACTCTTTGAAAATCTCTAAATCGTAACCCTAAACAAACAAATAGATTTTACACGTGTCATCTCAAAAAAGAGCAATTCCCATGGAATCAAATTAAACATCAAAAGATGCAGATTTATCTATCCGACAAGCAGGTAATGGCCGTACTAGTATATAACCCCAAAGTTGAATTATGAATCTACCGGGAGCAGGTTGAATTAAAAGCAGGTAACTAACTGGGATAATCTACTCGACCCTTTGTCTTCTACGGGGGTCGCCAAAGTTTGTGCTCATAAAATAATACGCGGTGCAAATTCGTGAATTGTGATAAGATTGTGTTTAAAATTACTTTATGTTTAATCTACGATTTTGGAAGATACTGAAACTAAATCAGTATCTACAGTACCCCTTTACCAACTTTTTTTATGAAATTTGCTGTTTTGTGAATTAAGTAGTCAAAACAAATGCAGGTTACACTAATACCATGATCTATGAGAAATATTTCAAACGATGCCTAACGATTAATACGGAAGATTTATGAGACGAAGCCTAGCTACGGCCACATTAGATGTGGTAAGTATATTCCAATTTGCTCTCGATTAAAAATGGCAAGCTCAGAGAGTCGAGAAACCGGAATCACTTGAGGTTCTAGGAATAGATAACCACCTATTCTTGGTAACCTGAACGGAGCGAGCGTAGCACTTAGATCTATTGGTATCTTCATATTATCTGACCGAATATTGCCACTTGATTCCAGCGAATAAGATTGCTTGATTCACAGAGTGTGGCTAACAAATATTTTAAGAAGTAAGCCACTAGGAACCAATAGTTTGTATATTATATTAACAAATACGAATTTGTCCTTCATTACATAACTCATAAAATGGAATAACCTTCGCCGGAGAGTAGCTCTCCGTTTCCAAGTTCCCTGGTTTGCATTCTGGAAGTCCCGTTTCGTTGATATTATTCCACGAAGAGCACGGATTTCATTTCTTATTACAGTAAATTACTTATTAATTACCGATATTAATAATGTACCCCAATATACAAACATTTCTTGTATAGGATAAATGATAAATTATTTATCACATTATTCACTGAGTCGAATACACAGCGATATAATCATCTTAATATTTAAATTTGATTAAGTAAAGCACTCAAGCTTAAACTGATACTTACTTAGTGCAAACATTATGTGAACAGAAATTGCTATGTCAATTGCAAAGCGAGCTAGTCAGCCACTGTAATTATGTACGCTGGTTGCGGTCATTCAGGTCACCTAATCTCTCACTTACTTGCGTCACATTATAATTAGAGTCTTTTCAGGGTAGACTTTAAAGACTTTCAAATTCGTCTTAGTAAATAATACGTTGCAAATTGCAATCTCAAGTCTACATACAGCGTTTTGCGTTATCAGAAAAATTACAAATTATTAAAATTATTCATTATTTTGCTTGACCTGTTTCCAATTTTATTTGAGGTCATCGTAATGAGTTTCGCACTTCCGTACATTTCGATCACCGTCATTTTAATACTTAATTAAAGATTATTTAAAATAGATGCTTGCAAAAGAAAGAGGAGTGTATTATGCCTAATAAATAAACAACTTAATTTTTAAATTTTTGTTTTACTTTTAAAAGAATAAATCTTATTTAGTTATAATTTTTATTATTTTTAAAGCATGTAACTGCTTGATGTTTAAATCTAAAGAAGAAGACGAAGAGATGGCGCTGCCTTGCAGCTTAAGAATAGCTAGAAAGAATTTCGACGCGGTCCGTGAGGGCCGCGGTAGCATAATTGGTCAGTGCATTCGCCCGGATTGCGAAGGGTGCGGGTTCGAGTCCCGTCTGCTGCCTGGTCCGCGTGGATTTTTTTCTAGTTATATTTTCTTTAGATTTAAATCTTATTTAATTGTATCGCTTTCGCAATTTATCTTTTAAATATGACAAAGTTTGATAAGGTAAAAAGTATTGCAATTGCCATTATACATAAACACTTGAAGCTGAAAGATGCCTCGCAAGTAAGTATGTTCACTTGTCAACATGAAATGATACGACGCGGTCCAAGACCCTTTCCATCATTAATAAATCCATGTAAACTCCGTTCGATAGATAGGGCAGAGTCGAGTATTAATTACCAGAAACTTCTGAGGGCCGTCACTTACACCGCGCCATTATTCTGTTCGCCCTACATCTCAGCTGGGTAGCCAATCATCGATCCGATTGATTTGTTAATAAACTATTCAAATTTATTCCCAATTGCTCCCAATCCGGTT